ATTTCGCCATTATAGTGCTCGTTTGTGTACATGGAACGAATGCAAAGCGTAATATACGCATCTTCGGAAATGTTAATGCATGTTGACGTTCGAAAGTGCCAACTTGCATGAAAATGCCACGGAAAAAATGGGGTTTTCAATATGCACGTGTAGTTCTTAGGAATCATGAGCAGGGACATTGCTTATATAAGGCCCTTTTGCTTTAAAGTGGACATTGGCATCTTTTGGCTAACAGCAAGAATATCGTTATGCTGCGACTCACTGCTGTAAATCGAACTGATACACGCAGACATCTAACTTAGTGTGCATTCAGGACAATTTAACTGTTATTCGAGACAGAGATGAAATTTTAAAGGGCCACTGATCCAGAGCAATTACCGTAGACTGGTTGTTGCTTTTGTCATTGTTTTTCTCCCGGGAGTACCCGGATGATATCCCAGAATTCATGATTGGTTCGTTGCCTCTGCTGCGCCACCCTCATGCACAATTGATAGTATAAGTATAGACTGATCAACAAAGATGAAATCTTTTTTACTCGATAATCTTGATTTTGTTGTAAAATTATGTAGACTGTGATGAATAATTTGGATTCTTATAAAAAACAAAATCACTTTGATAAAAATGCTGATTTTGATGTAAAATTTTGATTTCATAGTAATGTTGACTTTATAAAAATGTTACCGTAAATGGATGTAGAATTTGATTTAGAAATAGTTTGACCTTGAATTTGGTGAGAAGCCTGATATAATAGCATTGTTTGAAAGTAAGGCTAACTAAGTACATGGGGAGTCTTGGGGAGAGTAGTGAGCTTGGGTTCACTACTAGTCAATCTGAATGTTGTATTAAATGGCATTATTTTGATAACAAATGAAAACATTTTAAGTTTAACCATCTGCCAGTGGTACAAGATGTTAGGACTGAAATAACGAAGTCAATGTACGTCTTTATATTCAGTCTTATAATCCTAATTAGTTTATTATCATATTTGTATGCATTTTGAAACTTAATAAAATGCACACGATCTGCTTATACTTAGTGAATTTATAAACATGACTGTAATATCTAGACACCTTATAGATTGCCAACTTGTATCACGTTTCACACACACGCCCTACGTCCTAAGTGCGACCTAGTGTATGTTGTCGGTCCATTTCGCTTCACGGCAAAAAAAATATAATGATTCTGTTGTTGTTGAGACTAAAGTTATAGGAACAATACCAGGCTATTACCTTGTTCGGGGAATGTATCCATCCATATCCACATAAAGGAATGAGATGCCATTCATCTGCAGCTGACAAAGAATCCTGTTCCATGTCACGTGTCTTTTAACAGTCTAATATGCGAAAAAGTGATCTATCGTTTCAGGTTTTCACATTGGTGTATCCCATTGGTCAGCCAAGATAGCACACCTGGCAACTAGTTGCATGATGTTCGCCATTCTTTAAAAATCCTTTGATCGATGTTTGATTTGAAACTCAGCTGATAATTCCTCTTGCTGCACTGCCATGCGCATATTACATAATAATAATTTTGCCACATCAGACCTCAATTTATAATGAGGAGTATTGGGCCGACACTGTTTTGAGGATACGAACGTATAGAACTTCATTGTTACATAAGAAATATATATAAGCATTTACTGTGTGCTTAGTTAAAAAGTGTATATACCTAAGTAGAATTTCAGATTTTTTTAAGCAGTGGCAAAGTGGGGTTGTTTAGTTTATGGATTCAAATATATTAAATGTAAAATTTCAGATTTTTAGCAGTGGCAAAGTACCGGGTTGTTTAGTTTATGGATTCAAATATATCAAATGTGTGTTTTTTCCCGTGTCCGTCATATCATAAGCATACTTAATAGACATCATATTTTTACATGATTAAATATCATTTAAACAATAGGATCAAATTGGATCAGTCACTATACCATCCAAACACCTGAAAATCTGAAAAAGCCTACACTGCTGGGATACTTTATCACAGTCCCCATGTCTGCCCCTCGGGTCCAAGAACTACCGCAGTAGCCAGTCCCATGTCGGGATATTTTCAAAGGGGCAGTAGCCCAGACCCCCATGTCCGCCTGGTAGGACATCTGATGGGGCATCCACCCTTCCTAATGTCCCACTGATTAGGTCGAAGAAAGTCTGCCGCCCCGGTCGAAGTGGACAGTAGCCCAGTCCCCGTGTCCGCCCGAGGGCAGGTCGGGAGCAGTAGCCCAGTCCCCATATCCATCCGCGGTCGGGGAGCAGTAGCCCAGTCCCCATGTCGCCCTCGGTCGAGGGGGAGCAGTAGCCAGCAGGTAGCCCGAGCTAGCCAGTCCCAGTGTCCGCCCGGTCGAGGAGCAGTAGCCAGTCCCCATGTCCGCCCGGTCGAGGGAGCAGTAGCAAGTGTCGCCCGGTCGAGGGGCCAGCCCAGTTGTCCGCCCGGTCGGTGGAGCAGTAGCCCAATGTCCCGTGTCCGCCCGGTCGAGGGCAGCCATCGGTCGAGGGAGCAGTAGCCCAGTCCCTGTGTCCGCCCGGTCGAGGGTCGAGGGAGCCGTGCCCAGTTCAGGGAACAGTAGCCAGTCCCCATGTCTGCCCGGTCGAGGGCGCAGCAGTAGCCATTAGCCCAGTCCCCATGTCCGAGAGAGCGGCAGCCCGATCTGTAGCTCAGTCCCAGTGTCCGCCCCGGTCGAGGGAGCAGCCAGTAGCCCTGTCCCCATGTCCGTCACGGTCGAGAACGTGATAGCCAGTCCCCATGGAAACACAGTAGCCAGTCCCCATGTCCGGTCGAATCGAGGGAGCTCCCCGTGTCCGTCACGGTCGAGGGAGCAGTAGCCCAGTCCCCATGTCCGTCACGGTCGAGGAGCAGTCAGTGTCCGCACGGTCTTTAAGCTAGGTTTCGTAATTAGACTGTTGGCTGGAAACATTAATCGCTCTGGATCAGTGGCCCTTTAAGGATTCACATACTTCCAAACACTGACCTATAGAGAAGGTCGTACCCCATATACTCTATGCACACATTTTAACTAATGACTTATTGACATACATAATATAAACTAAACTATAATGGATTCCGAGTAATAAGCACGGCTAACATTAAGAAGGGGTTGTAGCCTGGTGTATAGTACATCTCCAAGACGCAGTGCTGATGAAGTAGGAATATACTTCCAAACGTTGGATGATGCAGGTCATCCATCCCAGTGATGTAGATTGATGCTTATGATGTCAGTCACTGGATTGTCTGGTCCAGATTAGTTACATTTTCTAGCTGGTATATTGCTGAGTGTGGCGTTAAGCACAAACAAAGAACGTTGGTTCTCTACTATTCCTGCCACACTCAGACATTATGAACCAATGATATTCAATCATAGGATCATAGTAACGCAGTCAAATTTCAAAACCAAGAAAAATAGCCGTGGGTTCCTGAAATTATCAACATAGCTATTTTTATTTTGTCGATAACAAACATAGAACCGGCCTTTGTAAAGTAGTCTTGATCAATGTCCAGAAAACATCCCGTCTAATGGATTCCCGGAGACGCGTTCTATAATTTGTCCAAGTTCATCCAGTATGTTATTGTCCCGAAGGCAAAGTTGTCATGGTAACAATGTACAACGTGATTCTGAAATACGTTATTGATACAAAAAGGAAAGTGTGCACCATATGACCTTCAGATTATCAAAGCACGCATACGTCCGTTAACAAGAGGGGTTTCACAGTAAAATCAGACATTTTGAAACAACGTAAAATAATATTGACCAATAACTGTCGGGACAAATACCTTATAATTAGATAGGAATGTAACCTGTTGCATAAAATACAATTTTCTGTCGTAAAACTTGTGATACTACAATTTTATCGTGCATTCACGTTATAAGGTCACGCTAAACAAGTCTGATGAGGCCAGCGATGTATCCACAAACATTGTAGTCTCAGCCCAGACTATCAACTTTCTAAATATAATGTCTTTCTCCACATATGCAGATACTGATGATTTATGATGGTTCGAAAATCGGGGTTTCCATACCTAGTTGCTTCACCACAGAGCGCACACATCCGTTCACCAAGGTCTAAAGAACCCGTGAAGATCCTTGTTAGAATTGGTCTTCAGCAACCCATGCCTGTCATAAGAGGTGACTAACGGTGGTCAGGCTGGCTGATTTGGTTGACACATGTCATCGTATCCCAGTTGTGTAGATCGATGCTCATGCTGTCGATCACTGGGTTGTCTGATCCAGGTGCGAGTATTTACAGACCGCAGTCATATAGCTGGAATATTTCTGAGTTCGGCTTTAAAAAACCAAAAAAAAAAATCAAGTTGAAGTTGGATATTCACATATTAGCTTCATGACACATTCAGAACAAAGTCACTTGCCCGAGGAAACACAAACAATATTCATGTTTTTCTAAACGTGTTTCGGTGTAACGCAAGACGAGGCACTGGAATCACTCGGCAGCTTGGTATTTTTAAGCAATAAAACATTCATCGATTTTCAGATAATGGAACGTTGATACTATTTCTGCAACTTCTTGCTAATGATTACTAATGCGATCTACCGACTCTGAGAGTGACGTGATATATATTTTTTCCAACCTCCATTTCCGCGTCATCTGCAAATGTGATGAATTGCTATATTACCTGGCCCATACAATGAATTCGTTCCAATTCTCTGCAAATCGTGACTGCGGTGATACTCCGTTGTTCCGCACACCTCATAACACAATTTTGGTTTCCAAAGGCGTTGAAAGTTATTCTGCCGCTGAAGAGTGCAGGTAGGTGCCATGTAGTCGAGGCGTTCGCTCGTTATGCCGCTTGTTCGGGTTCAATTCCATACATGGGCACAACGTGGGAAGCCCATTACTGCTCACTCCGCCGTGACATTGCTGATTTGTTTCTAAAAGCGTCATATAACCATTAATATTTTGCGGAAATCTCACAAAGAGCTCCTTCGTCCAGCGAAAAGAATCGCTTTACCCATTCTGGTGAGACTTATATGTTGCAGTAACAACAACTTGAATACATTTAATTAAATTCTTTATTGTCCAAGTTTTCACATACCCTTGCGGAGAAAAATAAACAGTTTCAACGAAGGACAAATAAAAGGCACCTGTTCCAGCTGACCTGTGCACGAGATCCCTCACCATTTGACATTGCCGGACACTTGAGGCTCCGTGCCAGGCGCCCCATAGAGGTTAGATTACATAGCATGACGTCATTCACGTGACATTCATCCTTTCACACAAGCAACTCACTCACGTGACGGTAGGAAACATGTGGAAGGCAGAAGTCACACATCTTATGCATTGCTATATACCAGAATGTGAACAAGAATGTGGCTTTGTTAATTGTACCCCTTCTCTTAAGCATCGATGGTTAAGACGAGAAAGTAATATCTTGTAAAATGAACTCTTTGATGATGAAGATATGATGATAGATACCCTTTGTTGGAATGACCAACCCGCCGATATGAAATTGGTAAGGCTTCGTCACCCATCCCATCTTTCCGTAATCCAAGATGGCCTTTAGCGTTACAACATCCTACCACTGACGGAAAGGAGTAACAGGTGAATATATATTTTGGTTGTAATGGAACCAATTCCTTTGGCTTTGGTTAAGAATGTATTACAACATTTCATCGGATTTAATATGATATGAATTGAAAATGCAATAGATGTCGTTTATCCAGACTTTCATTACAAACGTACATATGACAAACAACCCAAAGCGACTACAGACACGCTGGATAATCGATCGAGATTTATTTTAGATATTACGGTATAGATCTTCCCCAAACACATAAATTTACATTCCGAATGCCCTGGCATGATTTATAATAATATTTAAACGTATGCAGGATGCCATATCATGGGTAGTCTGTGACACGTATAATGATTGTATGTTAAGGACACATACATGGAATGCATGATCTGTAACGAACTACAGAAACTAGTGTTTGACGTTCCCCTGGAGACCGGAGACTGCGCATGTATCCATGTAAACACTATAGCTTCAGAATCTTCAGCCCACATGCAGTACCATGAGCTGAAGATCAGAGTGTAAACCTACAGCTTCAGAATCTCCAGCCCACATGCATACCATGAGCTGAAGATCAGAGTGTAAACCTATAGCTTCAGAATCTCCAGCCCACATGCAGTACCATGAGCTGAAGATCAGAGCGTAAACACTACAGCTTCAGAATCTCCAGCCCACATGCAGTACCATGAGCTGAAGATCAGAGTGTAAACACTATAGCTTCAGAATCACCAGCCCACATGCAGTACCATGAGCTGAAGATCAGAGTGTAAACACTATAGCTTCAGTATCACCAGCCCACATGCAGTACCATGAGCTGAAGATCAGAGTGTAAACCTACAGCTTCAGAATCTCCAGCCCACATGCAGTACCATGAGCTGAAGATCAGAGTGTAAACACTATAGCTTCAGAATCTCCAGCCCACATGCAGTACCATGAGCTGAAGATCAGAGTGTAAACACTATAGCTTCAGTATCACCAGCCCACATGCAGTACCATGAGCTGAAGATCAGAGTGTAAACACTATAGCTTCAGTATGACATGCAGATGAGCTGAAGTCAGTAAACACTATAGCTTCAGTATCTCCAGCCCACCAACAGTACAGTATCATGAGCTGAAGATCAGTGTAAACACTATAGCTTCAGTATCCAGACATGCAGTACCATGAGCTGAAGATCAGAGTGTAAACACTATAGCTTCAGTATCACCAGCCCACATGCAGTACCATGAGCTGAATATCAGAGTGTAAACACTATAGCTTCAGTATCACCAGCCCACATGCAGTACGATGAGCTGAAGATCAGAGTGTATACAATATAGCTTCAGTATCACCAGCCCACATGCAGTATCATGAGCTGAAGATCAGAGTGTAAACACTATAGCTTCAGAATCTCCAGCCCACATGCAGTACCATGAGCTGAAGATCAGAGTGTAAACACTATAGCTTCAGTATCTCCAGCCCACATGCAGTACGATGAGCTGAAGATCAGAGACATCTCGTCGAGTTGCATGGTTAGTTTGTGTTATCTGGTAAGTGGTTTTCATTGTGCTAGAAAGATTCAATATAAACTACAAGGCAAGATGACTGGACATAACATAACATAAGCATAACATTTTTAACGGAGAAATCCGAATAATTGCGAACCAACCCGTCATATCCAAAAATGACAAGGCTTTTCTGTGTACCTCAACAGTAAAATGGTATGACATATAACGTTTAAAACTCTCATGAACAATCCAATACTCCATATCTGCATATCTCCGATGGAGTTATCACGGTCTTCACAAGTGAAGGAAATAAATACAATCTATTAACATATAATACACATCTGGTGGTTAATCAAATATATCAACCAGGTAAACACAATGGTGATGAAACCTGAAAGTTACCATCAGTAGAGGGAGACAATCACCTTACTGTGACGAAACCAGATTTCAGTTACCTCCCTTTATGAATATGGCTGACGGCAGTGATATGTCGTGAAAAGATGAATTAAATTTTAAGCGACGAACGTTTTCGGTGGAAACTGGAAGACGAATATCTTCACCTCATTACGCTCACCATTTGCGACTGCACTTCATTATTGCTTTAGGACATAACATGGGACAATTGTCCCCACTTATCCAAACCAATCCGATCCGATCACAAAATTGTAACACTGAAAGTACTCTGTGGACCGAAGAATCATGATTCAAACAGTATGGAAAGTTCTGATGTGATTCAAGTTCCCCTTATTCATATCTTGGCTTGTAAAAGCCACGTCTCCACGGAAAGAAAGGGCACCATGAACGATATCCCGTTTCTTTGGCCCAGTATATCATTGAGAGGCAAGGCACGACGGTTGCATGGCAAGCCCTGACGTCCTCAGGTTATCACAGATGACGTTGCAAAATTCACTTCCGGTACTGTACATCCGGTCACGCGTCTCAGAATTCTTTGTCCCAGCCAGTGAGATCGTCTGGCGGGGGTTCCTCCTCGTCTTCGGGGTAGTCGTCAAAGTTGGACGTATCCGTGGCAGACTTCACCTGGGGTGCAGAACAGAAGGGAGTCAGAAGGGGATACTTATCACGTCATATACACTAGCATTGCAAATTTTATCTAAAAATTACTTGATATATGAGAGACCATATATCGGCGTATCGTCTCTAGATGTACATAAAATTACAATATTAATATTAACCCACACTAACTCGGGCTGCGAGTTAGTATGATCCAAGGGAGTTGTATGATCGGGACGTCGGGTTGAGGGTCCGGGGGTCGGCGTGGGGGTGGGGTCGGAGGATGTCATAGACGTGAGTAGAGGCGACATACGAAACCAAGTAAACCCAACTATATATCACTTCCTAAAGGACGCTATGGTATACGGGATCCTATAGACAATTTAATACATCAAAATTGATACGGAATACTTGTAAAACCTCAAAACAAATTCAAACTTGTATCTACAACCTGGAATATTTTGTTACAATATCTCAATGTTGAGGATCAGTACAGACCAATATATCTGCAATATAGCTGACCACGACACACTCGCACTTTTAGCAGTAACAGCATATTCCAGTAATTGTGAAATCAGCGCCTTGTCTGATGTGCCGTGTCACAGCATGCTTTTCAAGCCATCAAAGGCTTGTCCGCTTACCGAAGGGATGATAGGTGGTTTGACGTTCCTGTTTCGGAGGCCGTCCCAGTTGAAGCTCTCGAACCACGCATGTTTTTGAATCTCCCGTATTCCACTGCGACCAAATCCGAGTCTCTCCATGGGATTATCCCTGAAATAAAAAACATACTTGAACATATTTGTAAACTTTTTTTTAAAAAGTCAAAGCTTTGATCTAAGACTTGGCCAATCACAAAGGACGAGAAACATATGTACATGTTCATTTTTTTTGTATTTCTTTCTAAATTCGAATGTTATATTAGTTTGCCGATGTGAGATGTTTCGTAATATTCAGGGCCGCCATATAGTTATAATATTGATTAATATTGATCACTGCAGCGTATACACCCCCTTCCTAAAAAAAGCAAAAGAAAACGTAAAAAAGCACAACAAGAAAGCACAACAAGAAAAAAACAACCTAAAACGAACAGAAAAAAAGATAAAAGAACAAAGGAAAGCAGAAAGAAATCCCATAAATAAAAAAACACAAACTAAAACCAAAGGAAAGACAAAATACAAGTCAAACACATAACACATAAAGGTTTGCCATACAATAATGTCTGAAGGTTTTCCGGGAGATCAACCCAACTCACGCAAGGATTCTTCAAAGCAAGGCATTCCCTAACTATTTAAGCTATCACCGACTCTCGTTGCCGTCTCCGTTCTGAAATATTGATATTGACGAGACAGGCTACATTAACGTCTGATATGGGCATCCCTTGTAGATTTAATTTTTATGGCAGCTTGTCACTCAAATGCGATAACATATTGGTAGGGAATGTATTCCTCTGCACTCTCTCGTGTTCACACGTTACTTACACAGATACGTAATTTCCTGTAGCTGGTAAAGCCTGAATGCAATTACGATGTCCTAACGAAGAATGATAAACTGGATTTACTGTGTTACGGTAACATCTGCAGGCTATGTTGACGAAGTGTATAAATTGCACCGGAGTATCTTTTAGTGTAAATGAGTAAATTAGATTAGGTGTGAATATATACAGTATGTATGAAGTATATTACTGAAGAAGTTCGGTAATGTCGAGTGAAATAGATTGAATACAACAGATACGATACGTTTGTCTGGCTAGCTTTGTATATCTCGAATAAAGAACTATTTCTAGGTGTTATTGGTACTCTGTTTTGTCGTCTTTACGTTGATACATTCTGACAAGCATAAGAGAGGCTGAATATCATCTGAAAACGAGGTTGCAAATGTCAGGTCTCAACGAGTAATCTTCGCTCAAGAATACAGTAAATCATATCGACCTTGAAAGCCGCTGTTCCGGATGCTCGCTCAGAAGGATGCGTAGAGCAAGGTACAAGGTATAAACATTGATTTATCATACAAAAGGCAATATCTTACATAAAAGCAGCTGCTGTTCAACGACAACAAGTAATACTAGACTACAAATACATGATGGAATCCCATATATCAAACAGTCTTCGATCTCACATGTGTACAACGCCAGCCCTGGTTCTAAGCTTAATATATGTTGGTACAGATACAAGCAGGGAGTCGAATGTACAAGATGCCGCCACATACAATCAACGTCCTTGTTACTATCAGCCATCAATATGCATTTTCATAAATGTTTGCCATTTAATGCATGCAATATTTGCAGTTACATGTGGGCGGTATTTTCTCTATATAATGCTTCCAGTATTTACCAGCAGTATTTGCAGTAACACGTAAACAGTAGTACCTTCTCTGATATATAACCAGTTTTGCTTTTTAAGGGGGCAAGACATTTAAAAACAGTTGCCCTTACAACGTCAAACAGTAATTTTAAACATAATAAGGATACGACCTGTCACCTACATCACGCAAAACGACGTACACCCACGCTCTCTCATTCACCCGAAACATACAACCGCAATATGCACTCTCTCATTCACCCATATAGCACTCTCTCATTCACCCGCAATAAGCACTCTCTCATTCATCTGCAACATACAACCACAATAAGCACATTTTCATTCACCCGCAACATACACCCGCAATAACCGCTCGCTCATTGATCCGAAACATACAACCGCAATAACCAATCTCCCATTCACCCGCAACATACAACCGCAATAAGCACTCTCTCATTTATCTGCAACATACAACCGCAATAAGCACACTTTCGTTGACCCGCAACATACAACCACAATAAGCACACTTTCATTCACCCGCAATAAGCACTCTCTCAATCATCTGCAACATACACCCACAATAAGCACACTTTCACTCACCCGCAACATACACCCACAATAAGCACACTTTCACTCACCCGCAATAAACACTCTCTCATTCATCTGCAACATACAACCGCAATAAGCACACTTTCATTTACACGCAATAAGCACTCTCTCATTCATCTGCAACATACAACCACAATAAGCACACTTTCATTCACCCGCAACATACACCCGCAAAAACCGCTCGCTCATTGATCCGAAACATACAACCGCAATAACCAATCTCCCATTCACCCGCAACATACAACCGCAATAAGCACTCTCTCATTTATCTGCAACAAACAACCGCAATAAGCACACTTTCGTTGACCCGCAACATACAACCACAATAAGCACACTTTCATTCAACCGCAATAAGCACTCTCTCATTCATCTGCAACATACAACCACAATAAGCACACTTTCATTCACCCGCAATAAGCACTCTCTCATTCATCTGCAACATACAACCGCAATAAGCACACTTTCATTTACCCGCAACATACAGCCGCAATAAGCACACTTTCATTCAACCGCAACATACAGCTGCAATAAGCACACTTTCATTCACCCGCAATAAGCACTCTCTCATTCATCTGCAACAAACAACCGCAATAAGCACACTTTGATTCACCCGCAACATACACTCTCATTCATCTGCAACATACAACCACAATAAGCACTTTCATTCACCTGCAACATAAACCCGCAATAAGCACTCTCTCATTCATCTGCAACATACGGCCGCAATAAGCACACTTTCACTCACCCGCATCATATACCCGCAATAAGCACTCTCTCATTCATCTGCAACATACAACCGCAATAAACACACTTTCATTTACCCGCAACATACAACCGCAATAAGCACACTTTCATTAATACATAATAGTCATCTAGAAAACAAACCATCTCTGCTCTAACGTCCATAGAGGTACATTCTCCACTGGAAGATAACCACCGCCTTAACTACAATAACGCCCCGGTATCTGTTTACACAGTTCCAATGCCGCTGCATTACCCCAAACACTTGACACTGTCTGTTTATAAAGGAGGAATTAAACACCACCCTGTCAGTAACTCACCATGTGTGTGGCGCATGGCAGCACGCCCAAACAAAGACCGGGGGTAATTTAACGCAACCGAAGGGGAACATTTTTCAGAAATGATTCCAGGCCAGTTTTGGCCATCACAGGGAAGCTTCTACTGATACCGGAAATACAAATGGCGATCAAAAACGTCTGGTCTGCTCAAAAGCCATAAAATGGTCACCTGCATTTTCTTGGATACCGACAAGGTAATACTACGCCTCGGTACTCAATGTTCGAGTGCTGTCGAAAGAAATGAAAACTTTTAATGGCTCGGATACAATTTACCGACGTCCGTCCCGCTCATTTTACACGCAACGTTCCAGTAGAGTCCCCGTTAACTCGTCAACGTAACGCGCAAGTGGTGTCAGTTGAAATCGCTAGTTGAGATATTTCGGATGTTTCAGTTCAACACGGACATACAGAAAGAAACGTTCATTTTTTAAGGATAGAGGAGGCACACGCTCTTTATATATTTGTTTGTTCTGCACACAATCTCATAGGATGCCAATTACGGAGAAACAGGTGCTCGAAAAAAGCACACTTCATTATGGTAGTGTAAGCCAGTGATGACTGAGAAATCTGGTAATTGTTATCACAATGATGTACCTGGTTGAAATGCACGCCGTTTTACCACACGGTATTTGGTTGTAATGAGATGGAAAAAAGTATTCCATCAATTCGGAACGGAATTGCAAATAAACTCGAAACGTAGGAATGAGATATGATAAAAATCTAGCCAATAATATTTGGCACTCTTTCCTTCGTCCTTCCTGCATAATCTTACCAACAGTGTATTTACATATTTCTGTCTATATGAATGATACGTGTATATATATCTAACATATTTTACAGAAAATAGTGTTCATAAAAAAATAATCATAAAATATAATGAAAAGGAGCCCAGAGACGTTCATTTTCAGAAACTGTGGAAATCTTGCATGGACTTTCTTGGATATATACTTCCTTTCAACAGTTTAGACTCACTTAAAACACTCACTATATGTTTTGCATATATATATATATATATATATATATATATATATATATGGTTACACAGAAGATTGATTTCTCCACTAACTTGGGGAACCAACTGCAAACCTTATGCATCAACTTGCTGAAAAGCATGTGCAAATATCGTGCGTAAAGTGTTGGCGTAAAGTGTTGTTAAAAATTCGCCAATTACGAATTTGTTTTACAATACATCAGTTCATGTGTAAACAGTACCTTTAAACAATATGGAATATTTTTGCAAAATCCAGTTTAGAACAGTTGCCTGAAGTAAGTGGCTATATTTACACTAGTGAGTCTACACTTTTGAAAGGAAGTATATTTGTTTCAGTTAAGGTCAGTATGACAGACTAATCTAACCTGTGATCACTGTGACTTACAAATGTAGTATGCTATTGTATCATATCCAAGTGTGAAACAAACTACGTCTCAAACGTGGGTAACAGTCACTTATATATTACCCATCAAAAGTTTAGACTTAGCTTAAATCAATCACTGTATATTTATGTATGTACATATGGTTACAACGAAGATGACCAAACCTTATGCAGATTAATTGCGCGAGGATCATGCATCAAATTGCTGAAAAGAATGTGCAAATAACGTGCATGTGAACAGCTGCGTTTTGGTGTAAAAGTTTGATAAATAATCGGCATTTTTCATTATATATTGAACACATGACAATAAACTTTTCAACGTCACGAATTTGTCTTACAATACACCAACTCATGTATAAACAATACCTTTAAACTGTATGGATTATTTACGAAATTTAGTTCAGAACAGTTGACTGAAGTAAGTGGCTACATTTACACTAGTGAGTCTAAACTTTTGAAGGGGAGTATATATCAAAGCTAAGGTAGCGTTCTGCTAAATCATCATACACCGTTACAGACAGAAGCGTTAAATGACTATACCATGTACTTCCCGATAACATCCCAACCTGTAACACCGATTTCCATCTTCGGTAAGCTGATCATAACAGTAAATTAATTAAGACAGGACTATTTGCTCCGACATCTAGCCCCCACTTATGGTTGTCAGTTAAAAGTACATCCTCTGACCCCCTGACCAGACGGGTCCACTGTAGGTCGTCGGTCTAACATTACATTGCATTAGCTCCTCTCTATCCCACCTAGCAATCCGATAGCAATCAGGTCTACAATGGCACCGCTAATAGCCAAAACAAATGTCCGGTTTCACCCATTTACCTGCATAGCTTTTTAATCAAACTTTGAGCGTTTTTGGTGATTCGCCTTGGAAAGTCTATGGCGTCGATGCCTTTTAGGATGAGGTTGTACGTCTTCATCGGATCTGGACCAGCAAACGGTGGGCTGAAAGAGAACGAGACAGATTCTCAATCACATTCAATTGACTTTTAATCTAAATACTTGTGTCTAGGTTTCATGACTAAACGAATTATGACAGTTGTGGCGAAGTAACGCCGGGGCCAGCTTCCTTCTCAAAGATCCTTTCGTCCTCAGATTTGATTTCAGCTGCATTTAAAAAATGATATTACAGATAATGCATTAAACTTCAGAGCTTAATACAACTGAATAACACCGGCTTAATACAGGAAATATAACCTCGCCTGCATGTCTGTAAAATTTCCTTTTATATTATCAATTAGACAGTCATGTTTACCTGCTACCTCCGAAAAATGTTCATGCAGGAACGTTCTAGAAACCCGGTTTCCCAACACAACGTTGTAGGGACAGTTGTTTACATTGACAAAATACGACTGGTTATCTCACTGCGGCACGATAGGTAAGGCTATATCCTTTAGAATGACGTCCAATCACATGCAAAGCAAGTTGCTGTTTAAAGTAAGTTCTTCACAGGAACATTTGGAGCAAGTCAAGCCCGGGAACTTCATCATGTTGCCACTGGTGCGGAAATGGGCTCCACATGGCTGCCATAACACGTTTCGAAACCTTTACTAAGGTCGTGGATGTTCTTACAAGATCAAACATGTCAGTGAGTGAATGAGTTTAGTTTTACGCCGCTTTTAGCAATATTCCAGCAATATCACATAGGTGGACACCTGAAATGGGTTTCACACATTGTGCCCTTGTGGGGGATCGAATCCGGGTCTTTGGCGTGACGAGGAACGGTTTAACCACTAGGGTACCCCACCGCCACCAAACATGTCAGATCAATTCACATGACTGTCTTTGAAGGTTTCTTGGAAAGATCATGCTCGATTGTACCTAAACATCATGAAATATAGACACCATAGGCTTGAGTTGCTGGACCTGTGCTCAGTATGAAGGGACAGTTAAATATAGGACGACGGTCATCCCTATCGTCGTAACACGTTCACCATGGGCCAAGAAGTGGTGTTGCAGTAGACATCAATGTGGATAATGCTTACTGTTTTTCATATAACATCTACACACGTGTCAACTCTTCACCTGGTACAGTTTGGAAGCCCTCTCAGAGCTACGAGTCATGTTATGGTTACAAATCACAGGTGCTAATGTACACCTTTTAACTGACAAGTATCTACGTAATGGAAGAACCGGTTGATGTGAAGTACAAAGTTTTGTTTACCGGTTTGAGAAATTATTAATTACTTTGAAATCGAGTTTACTCTTCACTCAGAAGTTGCATTAATAAATCAGAGGGGCAGGTTTCTTCCTTCGCACTTGCTGACGAGGCACCGCAATTCTTCCATGAAGTTCCTCTTATAACCAACATGTAACCACGACATGCTAACGAGCACTTCAAAGGACCCGGGGAACACAGGTGTGCACTACGCAAACCTGACTATATTTAAGCTCCCCTTCCCCTGCTGGGGTTATCACCAATATCCACTTATTACAACGGACGTCCGCACTTAGGGTTTAAAGTACAGAGTGGTTGAATGGAATTGTTACCCCCCATGACGGCGCGGTCGGGTTGGTACGAACGCCGGCACTAAATAATCTGAAAACAGCGCACGTAAGCCTAGTCAGCTGTTAGCGTCTGACAACAGATGAAGATAGTGGAACGTAACTTGGGAGCCTGGCGTGGTTCATCATAAGTAATGTCTGTTTAAATTCTTTACATCACCTGTTGGGTATGGTTTGTGGGGACGAAATATTTTCCTCTTCCAGTTCAAGCAATGGTGCTGTTTCCCTATAACTTTAATTACAGTGCGGAACTAGTGGTACTACTTCTTTGAGTGGCATTTTTAGAAGTTGGAGAGTGAGATAAGGGCAAACTTTATGGATAGAAAGCTTCCTTATTCAGGTGATGCGACGTTTCGATACAGATTCTTGTACCGTCCAGGTATCGCAACGTCGCATCACCTGAATAAAGAAGTTGTTCATCTATGAAGTTTGTCCTAAGTGGTACGATGATTTTGGGCCTTACTTTTGTACTGCCATTTACTGCTATAACAATGCAGCGCGATACGTTCTACACTATATTGCATACGTTTTCTCTTCAGTAACATGATTTTCTGATTGTGTTTTATTTCGAAATGAACATTAAAGTCGGACAATTGCACATTGTGACAACTTCGTAGTCAGCCGAGTGAGATTAGTTTTACGCAACTTTTAGCAATATTCCAGCAATATCACGGGGACACCAGAAATGGGCTTCACATATTGTACCCATGTGGGGAATCGAACCCGTGTCTTCGGCGTGGCGAGCTAACGCCTTAACCACTAGGCTACCCCACCGCCCAGGCATATCAGCGTTGTGAAACTTATATATCAGAAACATGATACAGCGTCATTATCTGTTGGAGGGCAAATTATGTAAGCTTTTCCTTGACTTTGCACGTGTTTGTGATGGGTGCCGCCGATTGGGCAGGAAACGCTTACCTTTACCCAAACACCATATGATAATGATTCATTAACACTTGCTCATTGTAAGGTCGGAGTCGTCCAGTCTCATCGACTCATTAATTTCTCATGACTATGGAAAGGTTTTGCCGCTTTTATTTGTCTCTGTCATTGATGAACAAAAAGACAATCAGCTTGTAACCCGAAGAGAGTACAAATTGTATGGATGGGAAAATACTACTGACGCGGAAGAGGCGACTAACGGTATGGTGTTGCTGTTTATTGGATTGAAAGACGCTTATGTAGCCATTAATATTGTATGTTGAAAACGGACACCTGATATTTACTCATTTGGCAGCTTCTCGAAATCCATTAACACCTCCGTGTATTCTTCAGATGGACTCCTGTCTCACTGGATACACCATATAGTCAGCCTACAATCTTCCCTGCTGTGCCATATATAGTTTCAACAGTTATAATTTCATGTAATGATCTGTCGTTCTAATAACTTGGTGTCTTAACACATTTGATTGAAAAACGATTAAGGCTTATTAGAATTTAGCTGAAAGGTATACATCGCTTATGTTTCAGCATCAATTATTCATGACGCCAGACATATATCACACATTGAAAGTTCTCATATGTCCCTGTGGGTGATATGTCCAACTTATAACGTATCCCTGTACTGTCATCCATAGCGAGTGTAATGAAGGTTTGCATGTCTGTTTTATACTACTAAAATGTTGAGGACAACACTATTCATCCAAATACAATAAAATGGCAGTTTAACTGTAGTTATATGAAAGTCCTTAACTTTAAGTTTATGAGAACAGAATACCGACCGAATGAAGGGACCGCCTAATTATCCGTACAAGGAAGATACTGACTTACGTTGTCACTCAGAACTCGGTCAACAGGACCTCGCTAATGTTCAGTATTGTGTTGTCTTTCATCAGATATCCGTGATGTCTTTACTTCGTGGTGCAATATGGTTCGCCTAGAAGTTAAAGCGTTCACCCTTCATGACTAAACCCTGTATCCTAATCCAATATGATTACAATGGATAAAACTCATTTCTGGTTTCCTCCCGACACACCTGGAATATTGCTTAAATAGTGAGTGAGTTTAGATTTACACCGCTTTAAGCAATATTCCAGCAATGTCACGGCGGGGGGACACCAGAAATGGGCTTCACACATTGTATCCATGTGGGGAACCGAACCCGGGTCTTCAGCGTAGAGCGAACGCCTTAACCATTAGGCTACCTCGCCGCCCCTTAAAGCAGTGTCAAGAGAGCAAACTCTTTAACTGAATTCGTGGTGACGTACCTGCCGGTGAGGAGCTCGTACATGAGGATACCGAGTGACCAGTAGTCTGCAGAGATGTCGTGGCCTTTGTTGAGGATAATCTCCGGGGCCACATATTCCGGCGTTCCACAGAATGTCCATGTCTTCCTGCCATGACCAACCCTTTTAGCGAACCCGAAGTCAACCTGGGAACAGAAGGAAATACGGACGCTTTACGCGGGCGATCGAGAATGCTTTCGCTTGAAGATACCCTTGATGATGTTAGTCCCCCAGACATGTGTTTTATCTCGAGAAATACCATCATCTAATACAAGCCGTAATGACGAAAATGGGAAATATATGGACAAGACGATTTCCAATACATGTATCTAACATGACGTTCCACGCTTTGTGATCGATAAAGACTTTCCGTATTGTTCACTATGTTAGACTGTTCAACTATATGCCTTTCACCGGAATTTTAATTCAACTTTCCCATTCCCCGACAGGTTAGGTTCATGGCGAGTGTATAATAATTAAACTTGATGAAAAAGCCTTCCGTGAGAAAAGGGTTAACGCACAGCAAAGAATCTCACTACTCTTGTTCCGACCTTAGTCTGCTGATGTCAGGTTATCTCGCCACAGATAAACCAAAGTAATCTGATGAAGTGTGCGGCCGAGAGATACCAGGGTCATGCCTTCAGCTCGAGGTGAAGGGATAGCTTATTGGTTAATACTGCAAGAACATTGTCTAAATCATACGCTCAGATTTGTACTATAGTATGATTACAACTTGTTAACTATATCTATGTTTGTGCCCTGGGTTTTCATGTGGAAAACATTGTCCACCAACATAGGATACGTTTCGTTGACAGTCACTTAACCAACTTGAAAAAAAACAACAGAATGTTTTATTAAAGTGAATTTGTAAGGAGGCTTCTTTCAGGGGACATGTCTCACAGAACATGTAACTTTCCCCTTGAAGCAGTTTGTGACAGTATCGTGTTTGTTGACAAGGATTCCAGTTATGAGTTCGGCAAAGATGTTTCTTTATGTGGGTAGAAAGGTTAATTTCATGAATTAAAATGTGAACTGAAACTATTGCGAACAGTTATATAATAATCTTCTTTGAGTGGAATTTAGAAGTTGGTGTGATGAACAACGGGGAACGTTCAAATAATTACATTGATAATAAAGAAGTTGTATATCCATAGAACTTTCTTCGTTGTTCAGTAATAAAATCGATGACAGTATTCTGAAAATGAAGCTCGCCAACCTTGAACGATACATGTGCTTTATCTTTTGCCTACCAAATGAACGGTCATGACCATTCGACAGCCCCGTATAATCAGTCATTTTAAATGAACAGCAGTCGGCAGCAGGGGTCGTGATGATTAACGACTTCTGCTGATATATGCTTCACATATGTAGGGTAAATAAACTAATTTGCATCAGCAAGTGAGAAGAGCAGGCAACAAAAGTTTCTTTCAATAACGACCTTATAAGTAAGGGGAAGTTGGTGTAGCCCTGTGGTTAGAGCGTTGACTCGCCATGCCGAAGGTCCGGTTCGATTTCCGACATCTGCACTGAGTGTGTAGCTAAATTCAGGTGTTCCACGCCGTGATATTGCTGAAGTTTTGCTATAAGTGAGGCTATAATATCAGTCGATGTATCCGAGTTTCTGTAGGGATTACGGGTTCAATTCCCCACATGGGTACAATGTGTGAAGCCCATTTCTGGTGTCTCCCGCAGTGATATTGCTAAAAGCGGGGTAAAACTAAACTCAATCACTCACTCACTCACTGTAGGGATTAGCGGAATTAGGAACATGTCTTGAACCACAGTCACGACCATTCTAGCTGTATCACGATGTGAACGGCGAGGACTAGACTAAAGCTTAGTCCCTGAATATATAATATCATTTTGATAGTAAAAATACCCATTTAAATTGAAAAGGAGCCCCAGTGAGATGGGAAATCCCTGAGGAAATCTAGACTTGCTTCTTTTTTTAATGCTTTAGCACTGAAAGGACGGCAAGGCAGTTGGGAAAATAATGTGGTTCAGGGACTGTGAGACAGACTAGTAGTGGTTCAGGGACTGTGAGACAGACTAGTAGTGGTTCAGGGACTGTGAGACAGACTAGTAGTGGTTCAGGGACTGTGAGACAGACTAGTAGTGGCTTAGGGACTGTGTGATAGACTAGTAGTGGTTCAGGGACTGTGAGACAGACTAGTAGTGGTTCAGGGACTGTGAGACAGACTAGTAGTGGTTCAGGGACTGTGAGACAGACTAGTAGTGGCTTAGGGACTGTGTGACAGACTAGTAGTGGTTCAGGGACTGTGAGACAGACTAGTAGTGGTTCAGGGTCTGTGTGAGACTAGTAGTGGTTCAGGGACTGTGAGACAGACTAGTAGTGGTTCAGGGACTGTGAGACAGACTAGTAGTGGTTCAGGGACTGTGAGACAGACTAGGTAAGAACAAGAATCAGACCAAAGCAGTCTAGTGGCTGATAGCATGAGCCTTCGCCGATGGGGTGAGGCGGCATTTCACCAGGACACACACTGTAGCCATCTAATCCCCCTATTAGTCAGTTCATACCACAATATCTATAGGGGACTGGGAACCTACTTTGCCCTGGCATCCCTACCTGAGGATATCCATTAGAGGAATGGGAACCAGAACGAGGTTACCGGAGCAAGCACGCAATTGAAGATCTCTCCTACATCGTGTACTGTCTCAAGAATTAGGGCAATAACGACAATTATGGATACCATCAACAGGAACACTTGCTCGGATAACGCTGACGAAGACCACGTGCTTGTGATGATGGGGAGTAGATAGTAGATGCCAACACTGTCTGCAAACAGTAGGTTATCTGGGCACGAAGCGGGTTCACAACGTTGGGACGTTTCACTGTTGGTGTAGGAACGCTGCGTGTTTTTATCAATGCACGTTTTGATGTGTACACATTGAAACATCGGCATACAATACACAAAATAAATATTCTCATCCCAGAATTTCCAAGATAATTGGTAAATGAGTCATCGCTTATGGCTTGAAATGTATGATAGAAACTTGAATCATTTTGAAAGCATGCCTTCAATCCACACTATTCACTGAGTGAGTGAGTGAGTGAGTGAGCGAGCGACTAAGTTTTAGACCGCTTTTATCAATGTTCCAACAATACAATGGCGGGGAACACCTAAAAGAGGCTTCACATGTGGGGAATGAAACGCAGGCCTTTGGCACGACGAGCAGTTGCACCACAAGGCTACCCCATCGTCAAGCAATACAAGACAGTTACCCGTGAAGATCCGGGTTAGAATTGATCATCAGCAACCAATGCTTGTCGTAAGAGGCGACTAACGGGATCGGGTGGTCAGACGCGCAGATTTGGTTGACACGTGTCATCGTATAACATTTGCGTATATCGATGTTCATGATGTTGATCACTGGATTGTCTGGTCCAGACTTGATTATTTACAGACTGCCGCAATATAGCTGGAATATTGCTGAGTGCGGCGTAAAACTAAACTCACTCATTCACTCACCAGACAGTTCCACACCCACGTCTTAATATAGTACAAAGGGGGTGGGTATTACATAACCACCATCTACTCCGCCTGACAGTAATGCTATCAGAAAGCCAGAGTCTGATAAGTGGAGACAACATGAGCGCCGCTCCATCACCCGCAAGGCCACTGTAAACAGACAAATGCTTTCTTTGCCCATGCCACCAAGCATGCAGCTCCCGTCGACAAGTTAATAATGGACGTCTTATGGTGATAGAGCTGGCAATCCTGGAGAGGGGGGAACTCCAGAAGTGGTGCTCACCACAATCAACCCAAAATATGCCAAGTATGTCGGCAAGGCCATTCTCCCACGTGCTGACTCTGTGGTCAAGGTTAGCTGGGTCCTGTCCATGGCCGCAAGGGCCGGATCAGTTTGTAAATTGTTACTTTAAACCGGTTTCTTTTTACTCCAGTACTTCTACTCCAACCACGTCCATCCAGACACAACATATCTGGACCTGGTCCTCGGGCCTACAGTATACAATCACTAGCCACCGGTCTTGTGCGCGATACTTGGTAGTCTCGAAAATGCTTGTCTGTCCCACAGTCTCAAACGCATTTTTGTCCCTTCCACCGAATCCTTACTGTGCTCAAAAAGTCCTACATGAAGTGAGTCTAGATTTACCTTAGCGCCTAAATCTCCAACCTCACTGGAGGTCGTTTTTAATTCCAATAGAGCTGTTTGTTTCAATCAAAATATTTTTTCACATATTCAAGCTAAGTCTACGAAAGTGCCAAAACATCGGTAAAGGTAAACTTGCGCAAGTATCTAAGGTAATAATTAATGGTTTAAATGAAAATTTCTAAAGAAATGTTATAATAACTGACTGGTGTCCTATCCGGTTATCTAGCATCAGGTACCCTGGATGCATGGATGAATCTTTTAAAGGATAGAATAACTATACATCCTTGGGCTTAGCATTCAGGAAGTCTTGGAGCAAGGCTAGGGTAAAGTCTATATCTGAATCTCCCATCCTCAACCCAGCCCCTGGCAGCGTTATACCCAACCAACTCAATCTGGTTTCCTAAGCATTCCTATTGAATTTTAAGCGCATTCCTTTTGCAGCGTACAATTCCCAACAAAATAAGATCCAATTAAACATTTCCCGATGCCGTTGCTACGCGAGACTCGACGTCCCACTATAAAGCACGTGTAAACACCCCAATAACAAAATAACTTTGAGGGTGTTCCCCCCTGCATCCGTCAGCGTCGGGGGATGGTGTTAATGAAGTGGCATGACGTGACTTATCGCAGTCAGCTGGTCAGATACTTGTGTCGGTTTCATAATGGTCAAAGGTTCTTCATCAAGGGGCAGCTTTCAGCCTTGGGTTGATGGACAGCTTGTAAAATAAATGAGCTGACCAGGTGAACGTTTATTAGAATGAAGGAGGAATTATCTCACGGGTTGTACGGCATGAAGGGTATTGGCACGAACCGAGGAAATATAATTAAGATGCTATATTAACTTGCAGTGTCAAAATGTTAAATAAACTGCTGTAATTTTATCGTGAAAGCGCTGTAGTGGAAGCAACGTAAAACAGAAACACAGTGTATTGGGAAAGGGGTATCCCGGTCTTCATGTTGATTAGAGCACGAGTGGTCATGTAGGTCACCGCAATTCGAGGTACAGAGTTGCGTCCCTTGAGCACACCAGAAACACATCATGGTGGGTTCGAATCCCAGTTCGCTCCAATAATGTTTCTGGGTTGTTAACGCCATACACGTGCTCGTAGGTTTCACAAATGTTGTAAGAGTTTAAAACCTAAATTTACTTTGGGTTTGCCTCACATTCAGCTCACTCGTAGGAACTGAAGCTCTATGTGGGGCATTTAGACGGAGAAAACATAGAAAGACGAAGCTACTGCTAGGTCAGAGCAAGATGACGAAAGGCAGAATGTTTACAGAAAAAAACCCGTTGGCTTTAATCACAGTGTAAAAAAAATGAGCTGGGGCTTGCAGCTTTTGCTGCAATTATTGACCAGGTATCGTTACTTGGAGCATATGATCCCGGGAGTTTCATCAGGTAAACAATTGCCTTGCCTTTGCAAGTGTTTGTCAGCATAACCTGACCTTTAGCAAATACCACGTTTCATTACTATTTGAAAATGCTTCATAAACACATTCTATTAGTCGAAATGGTACAACGGCGATTTTAGTATATTTTTTGTAATTATATTATTCTGTATGAATAAATTCTGAAGTCAAAATAATACTTTGTTTTAAAAAAACACAATTACCAAAATAGAAAAGCAGATATTTGTTTAAGCTAGAAGGAAAGCCGAACCAGGGTCGAAATGGTACACGTATGTTAGGGTTGGCTGACTAGCTAACAAGCAAACACTTTTTAACAGTGACTACTTAACTTTCAGCACGAAATCCCGACAGAAGTAAAGGCCAGCGTTTACTGTAAATCATTTGCCTGATCGCTGCTTGAGTGCGGGATATAATGGAACAAGTCAAGCGAAATGGGCTGCTAATGCCAGTCTTTAAAATACACGCCTTTCCATTCTGTTTGTGCAACACAACCGTTGGAGCAGAGGGAGAACTAGGAACGTGATCTATAAGACGCTGGTGTATGTGCATGCTTGACGATGGATTGCTTGATGATTGGGGAACTTATGCATATCGTTCTGGTACAAATACTTTCTACTGTTATACTGCTAACGAGTGGATCTGACTGCAAGTGCCGAACCGACAAATGCGTTACTGATGACACAACAACAAATACACCTCATATGAATCCTGCACGGAGAACATGATGATGATGATGATGATGATGATGATGATGATGATGATTTCTTACAACTAGAACTACTTGCATGCCTCATGATTTATGCAGTATGTACATGCTACGGACATGTACGCTTCTGTAGCTCCTCCTCCGCCTACTACTGCTACTGCAACTTCTACTATTATTACTACTACTGCTGCAGCTACTACTACTACTACTACTGCTACTACTACTACTACTACTACTACTGCTACTACTACTACTACTACTACTACTACAACTACTACTACTACTACTGCAACTACTACTACTACTGCTGCACTACTACTACTACTACTACTACTACTACTACTACTACTGCTGCTACTACTACTACTACTGCTACTACTACTACTACTACTGCTGCTGCTACTACTACTACTGCTACTACTGCAACTACTACTACTACTACTGCTGCAACTACTACTACTACTACTGCTACTACTACTACTACTGCTACTACTACAGCTGCTGCTACTGCACTACTGCTACTACTACTGCTACTACTACCACTACTACTACTACTACTGCAGCTGCTACTACTACTACTGCTACTACTACTACTGCAACTACTGCTACTGCTGCTGGCTGCTACTGCAAACTACTACTACTGCTACTGCTGCTACTGCTGCGGCTACTACTACTACTACTGCTACTACTACTACTACTACTACTACTACTACTAGTACTTCTACAAATTTGCAATATTTCCATTTTTACGATCAGCTACCTCTATCGTATGTCTTGAGAACGCAAAGTGTATTGGGCATATGTACTTCACTGTATACTTTGTAGGTGAATCCTAATATCTACAGTGTCTTTAATGTCGTTTTTTAGTTGTATCGTGGTGGCCGCGAACGAATGAAATGTTGTATTCAAATGATGGTTGAGTGAGTGAGTTTAGTTTTACGCCGTACTCAGCAATGTTCCAGCTATATTGCGGCGGTCTGTAAATAATCGAGTCTGGACCAGACAATCTAGTGATCAACAGTATTAGCATCGATCTACACAATTGGGAACCGATGACATGTGTCAACCAAGCCAGTGAGCCTGACCACCCAATCCCGTTAGTCGCCTCCTACGACAAGCATGGGTTACTGGAGACCCATTCCAACCCGGATCTTCACGGGTTAACTGATGGTTGAACATAAGGACCTTCTTCAAAGACTCTGTGTGCGTGTGTTTACGTAGGACCAAGTACACTGTAGAAACATGCCTCTCCTTCATAATACCAAGCTTTATAACTCACCAGTTTGACATAACCATCTCCATCAAGTAACAAGTTTTCTGGCTTCAGATCCCTATAGACGATACCCCGACTATGGAGGTAGGAGAAGGCCTCCACTACGCAGGCAGTGTAGAAGCGAGTCGTGTTGTCGTCGAACGACGCTCTGAAATACAGTGAAGACAGTTATCTATGGTTCTAAAGAACTCTATGGAACCACTAATTTCAGTTCGTTACAACCGTAGTTCGTTATATGCATTCCTACTAAAATATACAAGTGGCATGGAACACACAAACGGTTCGGTATAACCGTCAGTTCGTTACAACCGTAGTTCGTTATATGCATTTCTACTAAAATATACAGGTGGCATGGAACAAACAAACGGTTCGATATATCCGTCAGTTCGTTTAACCGTAGTTCGTTACATGCATTTCTACTAAAATATACAAGTGGCATGGAACACACAAACGGTTCGATATATCCGTCAGTTCGTTACAACCGTAGTTCGTTACATGCATTTCTACTAAAATATACAGGTGGCATGGAACAAACAAACGGTTCGATATATCCGTCAGTTCGTTATAAGCGTGTTCGCTATAAACGTAGTTTCCCGTAGTTGGTGTCGTACTGATTGAACGTCATAGCAACGAAATATGTTAAATATTACAAATGGAATTAGTGCATTAACAATATATGCATAGTTGTGCTTCGTTGCATTCACCTTTATACCATTGGCATTACTTGTCTGGCTGCTTTTATTATTTAGAAACAGACATAGATGAGAGTAAATATCATCGTGGACAATGAAATCACCTGATATCAATGATATGACATTAAAACTGTAGCACGGTTCTGAATAGCCTATACAACATTTAGTACAGTTCACGTTTTCAGTGTCATCGTTTCAGTGAGAATAACGTACTCCAAGATAGCTTCAGGGGCAGGTAACTCGCTTCTTCGTGCATTCGGTAAACGTTTTTCGTGGGGAATCGAACGACGGCCTTTAACGAATGCTTTTATCAATAGACTAACCCACCCTCCGTCAAATCAAAAGAGTAGTTTTATCCTTCAGTAAGAACATGTACTCCAATGTAGCTTCAGGGGCAGGTAACTCGCATTTCCTCGCTTGTTCGTGTAATCGGTAAAACGTTTCCGCAAACTGTTGTAAAAACCAGTTGTATTCGAGGTGAATCTGATGAAGAGCTTAATGAAACGTCCCTAGCTATGATTCCTAACCCAGTCACTAAAAGATTAAGCACGTGTTGTGAAAAATACTTTGAAATGTAGATTGAAAAACTTGCCACGACTTTCCTAAAATAACAACCTGACAAAAACTAAACTCATTTAACAAACAAGCTGCTCCGACGTGATGTTTTCTGCAAGTGCTTCAGGTCGAAGAACAACATATCCTACACAAGAATTTTCCAAGCAATCGGAAATGTACAGTTATAAAAATAAACATCCTTGTCAGTTTCAGTGGTGATAGACAGCTACCTACATGTGAGAGTATATACGTTCACACTTATACGGCAGGTGCCTTACATAAACGTGCCATTGACTAACCACCCTTGCTCTTGCAGATGGGAATAGTAGATTTATCCTGCCAGTAAACCGAGTGGATTGTGTGAACGAGAGAAGGTACTTAGTTCAGGAGTTGGTAATTGGCAAGCTGTTGACACAGCTAAAAGCAATGATTAAGTATCTTGTTAAAATGCCATCGTCAATATTATCGGTTATACGACATTAGGAGGAGACAACAAATTAAAATCATAGAAACGTCTAAGGTGACATTTAGAATATATCACTGTTTCCTCGTCCTTGGATTCATCTTCTCTATATGAGGTGGGATGGCAGTTGGTCTCAGTATCAACATTTCAAGACTGATGATATTCACAACTTATTAATGCAAACGTTAAGTAATCATATATAGGTTTGACACCCCAGGCTCAGAAGAGCATAAGTAAATTAATCTTGAATATCAAAACAAATAATTTTCAGTTTAAAACTATAAACGCGTTTTACCTAATGCCTTTAAAGTCCGTGATTTTGTTTGTATAACATGTGGTGGGTAAATTCTTTCAACAAACTACCTTCCAAACTGCAGTGATTGCTGTGAATTGTATTCTAATCGGCTAGTATTAATTCGCATGACATAAACGGCCTGAAGCAGATATAATCAGAACAATTCCGAAATGGAGGGAGCATGGGCTGAAAATAAACACTGTGGATTTGCTTTTAAACCGCAATTAACCGTTGAATGTTTGGTGATAAACGGTGCCCTGTAAAACGGAGATAATGCGCACATGAGTTGTAGAGTCTTGGCGCGTTGTTCGTATCAGTGTTTCGTTAAGCAATGGTATACCATGCTTCATTTATATTTCATGTTTTCCATAAATCCTGACAATTTCTGCTTTCTAAAGATATTATTTAACTCGTGTGGTTATCTTTCACGGGGTTTTAACAGACGCCTAACATCGTATTTTACTCTGTCTTAGCGTTGAGACTAAAAAAATACAACAGTATTTCCCTTCGGTATTTCACGACTGATAAACATTAACGTACTAACCATCACAATTTATTGGACACCTGAACCCTAACAGTCACTACTAATTTGGTATGGGAGAATTCAGATCCAGTATTACCGGGTCCGTTGATTACCAGTGAGACAGTTAACTGTTCTGTTGCTTTATCCGACTTCTCTGCATATGAAGTCGACACGATAAGACAAAGCCAAACAGTTTGTTCAGTAAATTGCCTTTCGCCATTTCACTCAGTACGGCTTAAAAAGTCGATCTAATACCTTGATATTTTAGTCCGAATCGTGAAGAAGAAACTTACTTGTCTCTTAAAACCGTCCACAGTTCTCCTCCTAAGCAGGCCTCCAGCAACATATACAAAAACTTCCTGTCTTTGAATGTTCTGTACAGCCTGAAAGGTAATAAAGCAAGAACATTAGCATACATATGTCAACGATGTTTCTCTTTTACCTGTAAGACGATCATATGTAGTATAGGATCGACAATATATAAATGAACTCTTCAACATTAGCTGTAATGGAAATTTAAGTATGTCGGTTGACTGAAAAAGGTTAAAAACGTCAACCAATGTAGGCAACAGATACCTGATACTTATGTCTTTATCGATCCAAGCCGGTATGAAACTATCTTACATTAAAACGTGTGGTATACTGCGGACAAAGTGGCATCGATCTCATACGATATTATCCGACCACCCTATCAAATTGGCGTTCATGAGTGAGTGAGTTTAGTTTGACGCCGCATTTAGCAACAATCCAGCAAACTCAAGGCGGGAGATTCCAGAACTGGGCTGGTGTGCATGACCTTATCCAGAAAGTCCATAAGGAAGCCAACGTCCAAAACCTTGAGTGAATGACAACAGTATTCCATTTAGATCAGGGCATGTCTGCTTAATTAGGGAGGAAATCCCGAAGTTATGGAAGTAAAGGTTCAGCCCCCACTGGTCATGAATCATAGAACTATGTTTCACATTCACCTCAAAGATGACCTTGACCATTCACATACATGCCACCAACATTTTAGGAGGTAGATTAGCTACAGATAAATATCAGGGACCAGATTTTCGAAGCTCTCTTAGCGCTAAGATAGTCGTAAGTACCATACCTTAACATTAACTTACGACTATCTTAGCGCTAAGAGAGCTTCGAAAATCTGGGCCAAGTAATAGACGTAAACATGGCTCAGACAAAGATGGTCCCATATTTTACAAATAGCCAAATGCTCACCTCACAAATTTGCCTGAGTCAAAGACATTTTGAAAAGCAAGTACCCATCACGGATAAGACACACATTAAATGTTAGATACAAAAATTAACATTAGAATGTGTAACCACAAACGTGACCTTGTCCTTGACCTTGTGACTCATAGACTAGTTCAGCAATACCAGGTCAACAATCTTTGTGTACCATTTGAAAAATTACCGGCGACAGTCAAATTCCAATAGTGAGCGAGTGAGTTTGGGTTTTAAGGCGCTTTTAGCAATATTCCAGCAATAGTACGGCGGAGGAAACCAGAAATGGGCTTCACACATTGAACCCATGCGGGGAATCGAACCCGGGGTCATCGGCGTGATCAAATTCCAAAACCCCCTAAAAGACGTACCTTTTTACCGGGTTGTTGGACCTTTAGCAAGAAACCGTGTTAATGTCGAACATTTTGTAATGCATTTCCTCACATGTTGAGTACCTTAGTGAGTTGAAATATCAGTATCCAAATGGTCGATATTGCAATGACCAATATCTTTAACATCAGGGTAGATAACTCGCATGTCCTAGCCGCTATCCACACATGGAGACCAGGGCCTAGATTTTCGAAGCTCTCTTAGCGCTAAGAAAGTCGTAAGTTAATGTTAACGTATGGCACTTACGACTATCTTAGCGCTAAGAGAGCTTCGAAAATCTAGGCCCTGTACTACAATGCAGACCACCTTGTGAGTGTACGTACCTGACAATGAAGTCTGATCTTGCTTCCATCATGATGCGTTTCTCGTTCATGATATGCTCCTGCTGGCGAGTCTCCACTATGTGATGCTTCTTCAGAATCTTCAGCGCGTATGTCTTCGTGTTGTCGTTGTTCACGTGGACCTGGCAATCAAACACAACCAGTATTATATGTAAGCTATATGTGACGTTCACGTGTTTCCTATCCTAGTCGCTTGGTTCGAGTGAGTGAGTGAGTAAGTAGGTATGGTTTTACGCCGCTTTTAGCAATATTCCAGCAAAATCACGGCGGGGGACACCAGAGTGAGTGAGTATGGTTTTACGCCGCTTTTAGCAATATTCCAGCAAAATCACGGCGGGGGACACCAAAAGTGGGCTTCACACATTGTACCCATGTGGGGAATCGAACACGAGTCTTCAGCGTGACAAGATGACGCTTCAACCATTAGGCTACTCCACCGCCCCAACCTGGTCCGAAAGTACTTAAATACTATTATAGGTTTAATACCACAATAATGTGTATGCTATTCCATTTTTGGCATCCTTTTCAGAAACAAACCCAGTTCTAAACGGATTGTTATTTTTTTGTATCTACCTTATTGAAAGTCAGCTTTCAAAACAGGTGTGTCGAGAGAACGATTTTTTGGAAAGCTACAATAAATTATGTTTCAACAAACAATACATAAAACACACCTATTTGCACACTGACGTATAGTTCCAAAAACCAAATAGTTGATTATTCATGCTGCTTATTGTCAAGATTTATTAAAAAAGCGCATACGATGCGCAAATAAAGTGATTGGTAACAACAGTTTTCACATTGCCAGACAGTGTTAACAGCTCTTTCGTGAAACTATATTCTCGGTGTCAATGATGTTCCTATTTAAACCTGCAATCAACCCAATTATCTCTATAATACGTAGTGTATATTCTGTCATTTATCCACCACAACAATCAAGCGTTCTGTATACCTTGCACATATATACATGTTAAAGGAGAAACAAGCAAAAGTTTTACAGCCTACTCTTGCAAATATTCTGCGTGCAGATCAATCATTGATAAGCAACAGGGCTATCTTCTTGCGCCATTCTTGTTAGTAGAAATAGCGTAATATTTCAAAGCATCGCGACAAGGGGATTCTCTGAACATACCATGTTTCTCAACGCGATAAGATTGTGGAATACCAGGCCTGCCATTATCTCAACGTGTCAACGACAGAAACATCAGCATAGTTGGCAGATTTCTCTTCTCTTCAAAATTTCAAACACTGACTCGGAAACGGAATTTTAGTTCATTGATATCACATCCATGGTATTGTTTGACATTCGTTATCTAAAAGATAAACTATACATGTCAACCCTTGTTCATCATCCTACAATTGCCAGTTATATTTTCCGACCGCAGACACTGCTCGATTTCAAAGTACACTTATAAACAACCTTGTACAAATGAACCAGGCGGTTTAGCAGTATTAGCACCTGTAAAGCCTTACATTTGAATTCGAGATTCAGCGTTTGGCAATAAAGAATAGATGACATGTTCGTTATATCGATGGAAGAGGACGAGATTAATTATCTTAAAGATATGTTGTGTCTGACAACAAAACTGGTTTTGTTTTCGTTGTTAAAAAAGTGGAAGCAAGACAGCTATTTTCTACGACCTCATTAGAAGGCTTACTGACATATAACTACACCGTATCTTTAAAAGCGAGACAATAATTGGGCTGCTTTCTTGCTTTCTGAGTCATTAGCATTCATTTGGTAAGAGAGATGCTTGAAAAAATCTACAGCTTCAGTTGAATTGGGGTCATTACGAAAACAAACGTACAACAAAACCCCTCTCCGTAAGTTTGTAAAATGATCAATCTATTCGAGTTTGTTTGAGCGGTCCCAGTTCGCCTCTATTATGTTTCTTTTTTGGTTGGTAGTACCATCTTTAACCAAAGTGGGGCGGTGGGCTAGCCTAACGGTTAAAGCGTCTGTTCGAACGCTGAAGCCCATTTATGGTGTCCCCAACCATGATATTGATAAGCCAGCTGATAAGCGGCATAAAACCAAACTCACTTACTCATTTAACCAAAGTGGTGAACGTCTGATATCTGTTTTCCTTCTGGTTTTCACCTTGATCAACATAGGATACTGTCCAAAGAGGCCTTAAATCCAACTCATTCAATCTATCGGCGTGCAACTATGTATGGGACAAACATAAAAATGCATGTGCATTTTGTATCCAGCTTGCTGGGAGTGTAGGCACCTCAGATATTCTTGTTATGGAACAAATCGGTCTTTGACAACACATATAAGTAATCCTTTCTTATATGGACATGTCAAGGAACTATTTGACCTTTTTTTCAGGTAATGCCGAACTGGGCAGCTATGTGATGACAGTCTGTAAAATATCGAATCTGGACCAGATGATCCTGTGATTCACATCTACGTAGTTTGGATACGATTGGGATGACTTCTTGGTTTGGATTAAATCGATTTTTGACCGCACAAATAATGATTCCTGTCATAAAATCTACGTAGTTTGGATACGATTGGGATTACTTCTTGGTTTGGAGTAAATCGATCTTTGACAGCACAAATAATGATTCCTGTTATAGAATCTACGCAGTTGGGATACGGTGGCATGTGTCAAACAAGTCAGTGAGCCTGACCACCCGATCCCACAAACATCGGCTACTGAAGACCAATTCTAACCCGAATTTACCCATGATGGTATTACCAGGGAATGTACCTCATAGGCAAGATGTGTTTTTTTTTAATAATCACTTTTCGATTAATGTTAATTTGTCACTGGTGACATTCTCTTTATAAATAACAAGGATCGTGCTTTATTGGAACTCTGGTCACGAAGTCTCGTAGCGATAACAACACCAACCACATTGATGATTTAACATATAACTACATATGATTGCAGCTGAACGTCTGTTGACATTTAATAAGAAAATACATCACTCTAACAATTCCGTCGTTTGAGGACGGATGTTTTCATGTAATCATGGCTGTTTTACTACCCTGACATTTTGAGTCCATGTTTCGTAATATAGGTAAATATTTGCTGAAATGTCACTGGCCATAGTGATTGGTACAGACTTCGCATACAGTGTTTGTATGTCATTATTGCAGCTATTTATACCGTAGATGTCAACATTTTGCATTGCAAATAACAGCTTAACATAGATATTCTGAACGTGAGAATCACACCCCACCACATTGCACACTGAAGCTAACTCTATGATGTTAGTACTTTACGAATAGATATGAATAATGAAACAGAGAGAGTCGATGATAATAATTAATATATAAGCCAGTTATACAACATGACTGTGTGCTGAACGATTAGTATGAACTAATTAATGCATCACAAGCGCATGACTATTTTAGGCACTTCAAATAAGCCCGGTTTCGTTTTCTTCCTATAAAAATGAATGAAAAATCGTTGATATTCCAAACTAATTACTACAAATTAGAAATTTGAGCAAGCTTCAAACTGCTATTTCTTTAAGAGTGTTGATGGTGACAAGCAGCGACTGCAGTCGATGGTGGAACTGGCAACTTGTCTTGGAAGAATATGCAGGATCTCACCAGTTCAACCCGCCCGAACCCTCCGACGCCTAACGTTGCTATCACTGAGAGATCTTTGAGTTTCAGTTTGGTGTATTCCGAGTCAATTCTGAAAGGGAAATCAATCAAACATTTTGAATTCACAATTAGATTCACAATTAATATTTTGTGCGTTTAAATTCCAGCTCTGTGGATGGATTATAGACAACAGGGAAAGGGGCGATTATTTCGCATTATTCTAAACTAATTATTTCTAAACTAATACTTCAATAAATCAATGTTACAAAACAATGAAACGTTCGAATAGACAGAAACAAAACTATACTGTTGCCGACAACCAAAGTAACCAAAGTAACATCATATACAAATTCACAAACATGTTCAGAGCTGAGTATGTTTTGGTTCCTTCTGTGTTCTAATCCTAGATGGTAGGAGGGAGTGAGTTAATTGGGTTTAAGTCTCTTTGAACAGTCGCGTCAGTGTAATAAGGCTCCAATATGTGAATAACTAGAGGTGAGGTGAAATTGGGTTTTACGTCGTGCTTGAGAATATTTCGCTCATATGACGACGTGCATGCGTGTGTATGTGTAGGTGCGTCTGCTTGTACTAGCCCAGACTTCAGCTGGTTTTAGTGCTAGCCCACTGAGATACCATGCCGCAGTGAAGCATGAATACCCCACCCAGACACATTATACTGACTCCGAGCCGAGCAGTCCTTGTTGTACCCATTAATGCCGAGCGCCAGGCAGGGACCAACAAGTACCATATTTTAACGTCTTTTGGTATGACGCGGTCGGGGATCGAACCCGCGACCTTCCGCTCTCCGGGCGGACGCTCTACCCACTACACCAAGGGGCGGTCGAATAACTAGATGCTACACATGACGTTCTTCAGCAAATCTTCCATCTTCCTATTTTCTCTTCATACTGAAACTACTTATCACAGAAGTACAAACCATCATTGTTTCAAGCTCATGTGGAATAACCATTATAATGCTAGATGAACTTCAAGTACAATAATCTCTCGCTGTCATAAAGATATTATCGAGGCCGTCATATCTCGACATTAGCAAGGGTGGTATCACCAGTAAACACTTTGTTCGTTGTTTCCGCGGGGGTGCCGACAGGCCATCTCGGCTTATCATGTTACACCAGACCTACTCGACGATTTAATCAGAGCTAGTAAACATATATACGAATAATAAAGACCCTTACTATGTCTTGTTACAGTAGAACAGAGTGGCCTTATGTACTTCCTTAGGATGCTAGCATGTATTTAGATGACCTTGATTACAGACTAAATATTTGTATTTTCTTGGCTAGAACTGTCAGGCTCGTAAACTGCAACGCATAGGGTAGACATTCTCTGTTTGGGAGGAGTGTATATAAAGATAATTCTGTTTATTTTTAAATTCACTTTAAAGGAACATTAATCTCTATTTAAATGTTGCAGATGTTTGTTCTGTGATCATAAATGCGAGAAAGAACTATCCATTATCAAAAGCTAAGTTTGGTCAAAGTCAATTGCATTTATCAATATATATAATAACGCGTCAACTGTAACTGAACTATTTTACGACAGAAATAATTACTCCGTATTCTAATGTAATTTTGAGGATTTCAAGGTAGTAATTCAGTGTGTCAGTGTGACCTGATCTTTGTTCTCACTATCAACCACTAGTTTCCCTGCTCAGCTCATGAGCTGCATCTCAACTTACCCACACATTCATTGGTTTAAATCATTCGGATGTTCTGAAACGTGCTATTTTGCCAATTTTCTACAAACTACTAGAACAACATCGCTACCATTATATCTTTGCGGTTGTTGAGAGTGTTGGCGATGTTAATACCTACTGAAGACCTACGGCATATAGTCCAATTATATACGGCTAAAAGGTATATGCGACAAACTCATTTCCATATTCATAAGCACTTTCTGCGAAATACAAAGGTCATTGTACGCTTCTGGCGCTATTATCAGCATGTGATTATTGAACCTCATCAAGTAAAGATGATACCAGGTGTTAGCGAAATGTTTAGCGTATCCTTCCTCGCCGCCCAGTCACAAACACAAGCAGGGGCAGGTCAATCATTCACTCGGACACCAATAAAGCGTGTAATGTCACCAACAGAGGATGTAATCCCAATTAATAGGGAAAGTCGCAGTTTTGTTAAAAGAAATGTATTGCTACCAAGAACCTCAAACATATAAAGTTTACAACCAAATGCATATTTTTGACAGCGTGTGTAATTATCCGCCTGTGTTGACATGAACTTGTGATCTAACCCCCGCCAAATGTAAGTTCCTCTCATATCTGATGGGTGTATTTCACCAGATGCTATAAGTAAACCAGTGTACACAACCTCTAACATTCTCTTCCCACAGAGGTTACTTGTCATATCTTCCTAAGAACAAGTAACCTCTGTTGGAAGAGAATGAACCTCTAACTGTCTTGGCGAAATTATATGTCTACTCACCCAGCCGATATTTCATCATCTTCATAAATTCTCTTGAGTTCATCTAAATTGCTAATGAGTTGTGAATAGGACCTGAAATATAAGATATAAGTTGAAAAATCCGCACACTTGTAAGTCGTAGTATGGTTTAACTAATAACCACAGAACCGTTTCATAATGATCAGACTGACTGACTGACAGAGTTTGGTTTTACGCCACTTTTAGCAATATTCCAGCAACATCACGGCGGGGAACACCAGAAATGGGCTTCACACATTGTACCCATGTGGGGATTCGAACCCGGGTCTTCGGCGTGACGCATAATGACCAGAAATCAATACGAGTGCATTGTGGGAATCTGACCATATCGCAATCATATCTATAATCTCCAGACACGTCCAGCACAATGACGCCATGCTCCTCAAGCATGTTCCATCTCAGATTATTTCTGAAGATAACGAAGAGATCGCGAGGCACACATTACAATTAGTGTAAAACGTATTAGTATTTACATTGATCCATAGACCAAGCATAAAACACAACAAGTGTCGTATTTACCAAACAGAAAATGACTGACCAATAAAATGCAAGTATCACTTTGACAGCCCGCATAAATCAATTTCTACGAATCAAATTGCAAGACATATTTCCTTCTCCGATTATTTCTGAAGATACATTCACGGGGGTAATAGGATGTATTTTGGTCTCAGTGCATTTGGGCACACATTCACACTACAGTACAATACAATATTTAAAAATATGTTATTTATTATTTAAGGAATAAATACATACTCCCTGTCGATGACTAGACAATCCACGCCCTCTGGATCATTTGCTATAATATTGGCGGTGCGGACGTCTTCGCTGAAAGGAAAATAGTTTGGATAGAGATGGAATATGTTTTCTTATATTGCGTATTGGGACTTCTCCTGTGAAGAAGCTAATGACTGGCTGAATGGCTGCAGTATACAGCGGGTATTTTTAGTCCTTTGTCTAGACGATGAAAACATTCTGTATAAAATATTAAATCCATTTTGTTACGAATAGGTGACTATTACGTTGGAAAACAGTAAAATATATTTGGTTATTTATTTTGCAGATATTTTAATTTGAATAAAAATTGAGTGGTCTCATGGCATAGTTCTGCAAACTTCAGTTTATACATTCAGTATATCTAACTCTCTGCATCGAAATCAGATTCAACCTACAAACTGTGGATACTATGATTACACACCAAATAAGTAAAAAAGAATAAAAAAACATTGCGATTGACAGATTATACATGTGGAACATCTATTTAACACCCTCACAGCAATATGGATCCGAGGAGTTAACAGTTTACATATTACATAAACGAAATTCTTTCCATATTCTAAAGATATATCCCTCCCAAATGATAGCCTATTCGATAAATAGTTTACAGCCTATGCTGTTCAACTTCTTACCCTTGTAATGCTCTCTCGCCGAAGAAGTCTCCCCTTTGTAAATACCTAATGATTTGCTCAGAACCCGCTTTGGAGTTCTTTTTGGTAACTTTCACCTGTAAGATAAATGAAGGATACAACACAATAGGAAAAATGAAGAGAGAAGACGCCAAGACTCCAATAGAAAGTATTCATTTGTTAATGAAACTATATTTCATAACATATATCTTACCTTTCCCCTTGCAATGATGAAAAATGTGTCTCCCCTTGCACCTTGTCTGATAATGAAATCTCCTTGACCGTAATGGGCCTGGTAAGAGAGAAAGATATGCATTTCTTTGTAAACATTCTTCCAGTGTGCCTTTATCAAGTTAACATATATTAAACATAAAGTGTTTATAACAGACGTCCGTCGTCTAAATCTTCACAGATATATCTACATGACAGAGGGTCTCCACACAACAAACAAACATATACATTATTTGGCCATAATATTTATAGATCCGTGACGATCCGGGTTAGAATTGATCTTCAGTAACCCATGCTTGTCGTAAGAGGCGACTATCGGGATCGGGTGGTCAGGTTCACTGACTTGGTTGACACATGTCATCGCTTCCCAATTGCGCAGATCGATGCTCATGCTGTTGATCACTGGATTGTCAGGTTGATTATTTGCAGACCGCCGCGATATAGCTGGAATATTGCTGAGTGCGGCACAAACACCAACCAACCATAATATATATTCATCGCTGGAGATGATACTGAACGATACATCGTATATCACATTCACAACACGTGTAACTATACTAAGTCATTACATCACAGTACAAGGCAAAACAGCTGTTATACATTAAGCTTCACTACGCATCCAACAGCAGAAAAAGATAGCTTTATATATAATAGCTCACCCTCCATTAGCGGATGTACCAATGAGTGTACTGCACTAAAAGTTATTCATGAACAACGAGGAAGTAATCCTCCTTAACTTTTACAACCAATTCTTTTTTCACCAACGAACATACCTCTTCTAATACATCAGCAATTTTACTTAGCGTTTCCTCCGGAAGACCTTTAAACGTAGGTACACTGAAAGGAAATAAATAAACAGATAAAATGCATGAAGATGGCAAGACGGGACACATGTTTCTCTCCAGACCACCCCATCCCAGGAACATCACAGTCAAAGAGGAGCAATGAAGAATGAAACAACAAATGGCGTCACAGGTAGAAATTGATTAAAGCTTCTTTCAAAACACCATCCCTCTCCCAGAATAACATCACCTGAAGAAAATTCAAGAGAGATCAAAAGTTCGAAACTAAGCGAAATGAAAAGAAAGTGTCTCGCAATGCAAATAAACATCTTGAGGAAGTTTGATTAATGAAAAACAATTTTTCTTTGTGGCTTTCCAACATCCGGAGTCTGGACATTGTTAAGTATTTAACATTAGAGTTTTAAGGGGATGAAGTTCAAAGAAAGTGTTACTGTTCACATTTTCAAAAGCACACAAGCAAAATGTTGTGACTTTCTATTGCATGATTGTTTCATTGCAAATAGAAGAAGTGTGCTTGAAAATACTTAAGTACATAATAAGGAAAGATTCACTCGGAATTAATGAGTTTAATATGCCAGGTGATTGACCTAGTTAGGCTGATGATTTGAAATCCTGAGAAATACAAGTGCCTGGACATCTCACTACATCAAACGAAACAAAGCAATAGAAACGCCACTTGAACCAAACTGACTGGTAAAAAACCTAACAACCGATTTATACAAAAGAAACAATCACACTCAAGAGAGAAGCACTTCAAGAGCAGCCTTCCAAAATATAGCTTATAACATTGTTTTCCGGTTTCTCAGTGTGAATATAAGAATGTTTGGACTATATTTATTACATTTATTGTGAGTTATGCATCTGTACTAAAGGTGATATCGAAGTTCTACTTCATTGATAGAAACATGATGCTATCATACATAATATAAAATACCAATATACCAGGTAATGCTGTATCGTAAAACATAAATATATAACGCCTACATATCCGCGTATTACATGGATGTTTATGGTAAGCACAGTTGTATGTATTTAGCCATAGTTATTAAAAGCAACGATGCCGCGAAACTATATCAAAGAACAACACATAAACATAAGTTTCGAGGCGCTGAAAGCGTGTAAAATAGATATACTCTGAACTCTCAATCCTACTGAGAAAACAGTATTAATTTGAAGACACGTGTTCCAGGCGGGAAGTCTCATAACTAAATCCATAGCCAATTAAACCGAAATCATGAGCCTCTTTTTTATCTGCTTACCTTAATCACTAGTAATGAAAGAGCAGTCTTGTTAAGGCTCAGGCCTTATTTTCACAAATTGTGTAAGAGTATCGTTTTTCTTTGATAATTAGACGTCAAATTCTTCCAAAATTTGTGCAATTTAAGTTTGCATTTGGAAACATCAAGACATCAAAACGAGAATGCGGTTGATGTTTATGTTTTTGTCGTCTTCGGTTCTTTAGGGGATAAAGTTCTTAGTCTGTATAATCCATCACGACGTCAACATGGCAACATCAACTCTTTGATTTGGCTACGTTTAATATAATAATTCCCCACACAGTTATAACCTGTATCATGTTTAAAGGCAACTTGGGCCAGTCGGGTAGCCTAGTGGTTAAAATGGTCGCTCGTAATACCGATGACCCGGGTTCGACTCCCACATGGACACAATGTGTGAAGAGTAGTGCTTGTAAGCATGTGGTTGACATTCTCCGATTGATCATTGTAATTCGATACCAGTTAAAATGCAGGTTAGATTTGATTTTCAGTAACCAATGCTTGTTGTAAGAGGCGACTGATCGGGTGATCAGGCTCGTTGACTTGGTTGACACATGTCATCGTATCCCAATTGTGTAGATCGATGCCCATGCTGTTGATCACTGGATTGTCTGGTCCAGACTCTATTATTTACAGACCGCCACCATAGCTGGAATATTGCTGAGTGCGGCGTAAAACTAACTCACTCACTCACTCATTGAAATTCGAAATAACATATCCTCTTCGAAAACAATTGTACAACCATGCTGTGAGTGAATGAGTGAGTGAGTTTAGTTTTACGCCGCTTTTAGCAATATTCCAGCAATATCACGGCTGGGGACACCAGAAATTTGGAGAATCGAACCCGGGTCTTCGGCGTGACGAGCGAACGCTTTAACCACAAGGCTACCCCACCGCCCACAAACATTCCATGACTATGACGTACCTCCGCAAGAAGTCCATATGTTCCGAGTGTCGTAACAGACCGGTTTTCATCATAATACTCTGGAAGCATGCTCGGTCTATCGCCCATAGTCGACAGTTGTATAACGCTGAAATATAAGATGTGTGTGTGGTAAATAGATATAAAATGCAAGTAAAGCTTTGACACTGCCATCGTGTCGTATATTAAATCACTAATCATTAATATATGATTCTGAAACATTATTCGATTATTCTGACTGCGCATAACCTCCTTTACCGAACCAATATCAGGTAGAATTTGGAAGACTCTTAAGTATTTGTTCTTCTGTTAAGGAAACCGTTCACATCTGTATGTCTACACAATTGAGGCGATTGTTCCAAATAGATCCTCAATTACAATGGACGTACAAGTTCGATAGTGTCAATTAATATGGAGGCTTGTGGTATTTTAACGGAAATCATCGGTACTACATTCCTTTTTTAAGCCAATGCACTTCTCTTTAATCAACCCAGATCCACCTGTCAGACTCTCGTGATTTATGCGTCTGATAAGACATATGATGCTGGGGTTTAGACTTAATTAGAGAGAAGAATGAATAATTGCTCCGTTACACTAAGAGACGGACTTACCAGAAGGTTCACTATATGTCCACGAATGTTACAGATAGTATGAACTGAGATCAGATGATTCCTCTCACCGACATACAAAACATGTGTGTGTGTATTGGAGTGTTGGGAGAGTTAATGTTGAATATCACACACACACACACACACACACACACACACACAACACACACACACAGAGAGAGAGAGAGAAGAGAGAGAGAGAGAGAGACACAACAGAGAGAGAGTTCGAGAGAGAGAGAGAGAGAGAGAGAGAGAGAGAGAGAGAGAGAGAGAGAGAGAGAGAGAGAGAGAGAGAGAGAGGCGGGGGTAAAGAGACGTACACCCAACGTATGTGTTAAGTGTCATGTTTAATGAAATCTTACATATACATGGAACTACGGTTCTAACGAACTCAAATCAACCACTGCTTTCAGTTCGTTATATCCATGGTTCCATTTCAACTAAAATATATAGTGTGTGGCTTGGAAAAAACGCAAAGTAGTTCGTTACATCCGCCAGTTCTTTATAAGTGTGTTCGTTATAAGCATAGTTCACAGCGATAAAAATGTAACAAATAATGTAATAATATATTACATGATGAAAATTACATATTTAATTGCATTGCGACTGTATGGATTGCGACAGCATTTCCTAATGAGGCCCCCGGACAAGGAGGCCGTCGTAGACTGGTTGTTTCGACATCTAGAGTCTGTGTATTCAGTCATTTATTACAGATAATATTACACTGTCCTTCACAGCAGCCGCTGAGGTAGTTAGGTTTCCCATATTACTGTCACTGACAACCATGGGAACACCACTGTGATGAAGTATGCGGATTCCGTGTTTATTACACAAGCCCTGACATGTCGAGAGCAATGATAAATTGCCTTCCATGGTATTTCATATTTTATATTCTTTCCCAGATTAATTATACGTATTAATACGCTACGTATTTATTACAGAGGCCCGGAAATATGCCCCAAACATGTGATAGCATTAGAAGTGAGTTATATTAAGGTAATGGTGGCCTCATGGCGAAGCCCACTTTATGGTGTAATGTAGGTTGATGTGTTGTCCAAAATTATCACATGTCGCCAGCCTCTGCAGCCTGGTGCGTATACAGAAATGAAACACTTATTCCAAGGCGTCCGACATTGTTTCTCGTTACTGGATGTTTCACATTAAGTGCTGCGTCTGGACCTACATTTTACAAAAGTCACTTAAACGTTTAGATTATCACATCAAATGTAGAATAAACAATGTACTTTAGTCAACGCTATGTAAAAGTAATCGCTTAAATGTGTTTTTATCTTTAACTGAAAGCTATATATGTATCTATAGCAACAGAAACTCAAATGATACAGTTTCACACAAATTTAGTATATGTATATTATCACAGATGCAAATCTTTCAGATATTTCGACACCGTTAAGAACCTAAACGTCAGCAGTTGATTAAGTACACGGTAACATAATCTGTGGCCTGAGGTCCCTACTAGATTGAAACATATCGGTTCCGCTGATTGTATCTAGAGTAAAATCACGTATATGATCTGTCAACTTAACACATGGACACAGGAATGATGAACGGAACGAATCAGCTGACATGGAGTAAATCAATTAATTTCTACACCAGTTAAAATCCAATTCGAAACTTAGACACGCCGCCAAACGGACCATGCTACCAACGTTAATATCTACTGCTTAGTGAACATACTGTCTGCTACCATACAGCCACATCCTAAATCTATGTTTGAACCCAGCTATCTACAAATCCCACTTATTGTTTTTATCCGAGTGGTGTTATATTTTATCAACTGGGTTGAAGAACATCATGGTTTGACAGTGGACTGCGTTGAAACATCTGTGCAGAAGAATTTCTTTACAACATTTAAGTCCTCAGTGAAGAATAATCATAAAAAGCTGTATCCAGGGTAAGAATATCATGAGAAGAAAGTGGTCCAACTAGCCCCCACTAATTATAATATGCACATGCACTAATTAACACAGGCAGTGGTCAGTGATACACCATTGTCCCAGCACAATCCCCACAGGGGCGACAGCTGGACTGCTTTCTACTCATGATATTCTTACTCTGGATCCACCGAGGAACATATCGAAATGTGACGTTTTGTTGACACAAATGATGTCCAATTCCCTTTGTTGCTTGTGCTATACTTGTACCTTCTTCAGGTGAACACCTGCATGTGTTTGTGACAGAAGCTATAGAACTTTTTCGCGAACACCTGGTGTCATCACGACGTGATTGTGATCCATAGCACATTTTTTGGTAGAGTCTTCTTCTCATGGTTATGGCGACGGTTTGGTTTGGTTTGGTTTCTTGTTTTACGCCGCACTCACCTATATTCCAGTCATATCGACGGTGTTTGTGCTTTTATGTCCTTCAAAGTGTGTATATGTTATCACATTACAAAATGTCTTGACCCCATATATCCCGAATGAAAGCATAATTGTGCACTACGAGACTGGCTTTCTAAAAGTATGCATAATCGCATAACGTAATTACTGAACAATGCGACCGTCCATTTGCAAACGGAATATACTCCTAATAGTGTTTCCTTCAAATGGATGTTGATGGCCTAAATCCTCCGACATAAACCCTACTGGGGAAGATATCAATAGTAGAAAACAATTACATTTCCTCCAAGTGAGTGCTAACGAGATGGATTTGGAGTAAGTGACTGCGTGAACTTGGTCAGATCAATTCTTGCTATGTTCCTTTGTCCTCCGTCACTGGATGATACACAGTAAACATTGAATGACTCCCCTTTAAGACCTTGTGTCGCATTAACGTTAATGTATGACCGTTTGGCATTCGGAGTTTGGTTCTCTAACCATTTGCATTTGTTCAGGATTCTAGTTGACTGACGTTCTTTCGTATGAGTAGAGTAAGCTCCGTTTGTATATACCGAGTGCATGACATCTCAACAACATTTAAAAGGATTTGGGCAACCACGTCTTTTTACGTATCGCCAACGAAAACTGCATAAAAGATCTATTTGTGCAACCTATTTTATTCAATTTTCACTTGGTAATAGCCCTTCAACTTTTAATGATGTAGATGTTTTAATAACGGATCAAGCTATCCTGGTTTTTGTGTATGTGAGATTGTGGTATTGTTGTATTAATCATCTCACTTCGGAATGAAAATTCAAGGTGGGCGGGAGATGGAGAACACTGAGAAAAGTATGGACAACATATAATATCCTTTGCACATCACGCATAGATGTCAGTCTCAGATCATGTATGCTTATCGTCGGTGTGAGTTGTGAAGGTGTGGTCGTTTCGGCATTTATTCCAAATGAACTTCCATTAAAATGTAGTTATCACAAATATGAACTCGAGTTTGTAGAAAGTCTGGAACCAGATAAAAGAAGAACAGTGTGTAAAATAGGCAATTCATAAGCTATATTGATTCTGCAATAAATCAGGTATTAAAAACCTTTCAAAGCCCTGGAAATGACACTGTTCCGCCAAAGGCCACTGCGGTTATCTCATTACAATATGAACTTTCCATCTCGAGTTTGGCGTAATTGATTACTCGGAGAGGCTCAGAGCCTTTTTCCTAGATTCTATTGATATCGATGTCATGGCAAGTATGAGGAGTTTATTAGTGGTCGACCATTTGATATTTCGTGGGGGTGACTCGAAAAAATCTGTCCTGAGGTTTTACAAAATAGATAAATCATTCAACCATAATCCACTCCCACAGATCCTACACATACTTCCGATCTCGTGTTTCGCCACAATTCATGGTCATTGTAGCTTGTAGTTATTAAATCATGTTTGGCTTAATTAATCAAGACAGTCAAGGTGTGAAAACGACTATTGGTCAGGCAAGAGTGTTTACAGAGGTCAGGCGATGGTCATCGTGTTCATAAAAGAAAGTCGGTGTCGGATAATATCGGAGAAGCACGATATATTGAGATACATTTACCATATGGTAGAGTTTCTATTGGGGGTATTGATACACGACTCCACAGAATTAATACCCAAGTTACACGCGTTCAGTGTAACCTTCGCAGCATTGGGCAGTCAATGTCCATCACAAACGGACACAGATCGTATTAAACAGTAAATGACATTTTTAATGACAAAATATTGAATTGAAACCTGAAAGCGCAATAAGATATTTCAGAATCCCATCGATAGAAGATGTGGATGTGTGATTTGGTTGGTTTGTGGTTGAACGCCGCACTCAGCAATACCCCAGCTATGTGGCGGCGGTCTGTAAATAATCGAATCTGGACCAGACAATCCAGTGATCAACAGAATGATCTACGCAATTGGGATACGATGACATGTGTCAACCAAGTCAGCGAGCCTGACCAACCCGATCCCGTTAGTCGCCTCTTACGACAAGCACTGGTAGCTGAAGACCAATTCTAACCCGGATCTTCAGGGGTCATGAATGTTTGAAACAGTGATAGCATACCTTTAACCGTGGCTGTCCTCGTACAGTTGTACAGAATGGCGAGCTCTCCAAACACCTTCCCCGGTACCATTGTGCATAGTTTCTGACCTTCTTTGGATACCTCCACCTTGCCATCTGGAATAACATGAAATAAGTTGCAATTCACATAAATAGGTTGACATTTGTAACGGGAACGAAACTAACTGCTACAAAACGGAATATTTGCACGACCCAAGGTTTTAAGCAACTTCATCTAAACGTATCTACTTGCCTAAAAGACAATGCAGACATAGCAGAGGAGAGAACGTAGGGAAAATGATGTAAGTGAGCTTGGTATTACGTTGCTTTCAGCAATATTCCAGCAATATCACGGCGGTGGACAGCAGAAATGGGCTTCACACATTGTAACCATGTATGATATCGAACCCGGATCTAGGTCTTAGGCAAACCAATCTCCCCGACCATTGTATAATTGTGCCTTTGTTTTCTGTGTTTGCTGTTGCACTACCACACTCATCAATGCCCCAGTTATGTGACGGAGACATATGTGACCATGTGTTATCGAAACCAGCCTACTCAGTTACTGATATTTCGAACGACAATGCACAACAAACAGGTACAACACGCTGTCATATGTCGAGTGTGACCCTCCGATCAATTACCACCACATCCTGCTGGTGACCTAGCCCAATTCACACTACTATCGATACATATCGAAAGACGGAACTGGTTTGATTGCCCTTGGTCTAGCAATCCTGATTTTGTAAAAGTTTGAGTTCGAATATCCTTGTTGTGACAAGGATTATGTATGATTGACGGTGCGTTTTGTATCTATTCACATTGACCCAATATCCTAATGTGGTCTCATCGTGTTTTTTCTTGCCCTAATCGCCGATATACAAAACGACAACCATTCCTTCTGAAATAAACGCCTCAGAGCGCAATGCTGCTTTCAGGTAGGTTGAACATTTTCTTTCCTTGTGATCGCGTGACTAATCCCAACCAGATCTGCATACCAGATCACGCAGATTTCCCGTGCCTTTGATCGGCAAGGTCTTAACCGGGCACTAAAGAACTGTTTATTATCTCCTGGCTGAAGCGCCAACAACCTGACAAGAAACATTCAAAGCGTTGTGAAGTCCTAGATTCCATAAGTTCCTCTTGAGAATGAGAGTTCTTCATTTGTTCATCTACGAAACCAGTATTCGGTGCAGAAATATAGGAAAGTGGCGACAAATGAGTACAGAATTATCAATCAAAACCTTCGAACTGATTGAACGTGGCTGCAACAGAGTACTTCATCCCTAGCTTTTCAAATGCAAAGAGAGCTTCTACCCTTCAATACAGACATGCGGATTTGATGAAATATTCTAAAATAGATGCTACGGATGAAATGCTGTAGGTGTATATGATTTGAATATATTTTAACTGACAAGTATCGAAATTAATTGCCATCTTGGATCATAACGCATATTGCAAGAAATGAGACTTTAGGAAGACACCGTCAAACAGTTGGGCGCTTAGAAAACATTTACACGATACAAAATTTACATCGTACACATGGTTCATATTCTTAGTCTTAATTATCAACATGGTTTGTGAAGCACTGCTGCGAGACGCCGCTAATTCGGAATTACTTGACGGATATGAAAACCCGCTTTGCCACATTAAGTCCAGCCGACACACTCAAGGGGTGTAAATTCACTTTGCACAACAATTCAGGTTCTAAGCAAAAGACGATATTAATAGTAAACGGGCGCCTGAAAGCCTTTGAAATGCGTAAATGTTTGAACAGTGACGTAAGAACGGTTTTAAAATGTGGCAGCAATTTGTAAAGAAGATGTATTCCTAAGTTTTATGGGATGGTCTGCTTGATTAACACAGGTGGAAAATGAGGGAAATGTTTTTGCTTGTCATCAACATTTAGTACGTCAAAAGAGTCTTCATCGTTTGAGCCCCTCTTGCATGTGCATGTTCCATTTTTATTTCCTTCTACCTGTAGAGCTTATATTAAGTTGTAATCTTCTTCCAATTGCTTTCGAGAATCACCGTAAATTGGAAAAGGAAATGGATGTTCAACGAGCGCAAAGAAAAATCCAAAATGATCAACGTCCTCCGATGACCTGGGGTGCTCATGCCAAGATGCCAAATGTACTTAATGTACTCGACATAGTGTCGACATGTTTATCTATCTTTGTATTTAACTTACAAAATGATAAATCATGTGATTATTTCACAACTGATATTTGCATGGGATAACTAACATATCTACCTAGCATTGTTTTGCCTATGATTATAAACACCGTAATATTTACAGTTAGGTTGTTCAAATTCCTTGCCGTATTTGAAATGAATACAAACACATGGGTTCTCCACCGTGAACACATACATTGTACTTCCACCCATCCGTATCCACAATTGATGAATCACCTCCAATTAACCTGGTGTAGCATGTACTTGAAAGATGCTCACTTGTTACAATAATATGCTAGAGGCATTAAGGAACCACTTGGAGGTTGGCTGAGAACCAATTGGTGTAATGTGATGGTCTAGCACCAAGGTCCATCAGTCTGACCACGATGGCTATTGGCGTCAGCAGGGAGCAAAAGGTTATGGTTGTTTTGTGTTAGGGTTCCTTAATACAGGGAATGTTAACTGGCTTTCCAGGTATGTCGGGAGGTCGTTATCATACACAGGGGCAATTGGGAAGTGATTATACGGCTGAGATGGGCACGATAGAACAGTATCGTGCTGGGCGAGGGGCGTGCAGCTCTACGACTTGGAGAAATGCTTCATCATGATTCGTACGGTGTGTTCATTGAACACAGGTCTCACTGTGATGGAATGCAATGTGGTTTTGACAGTGTGGATTATCAACCTAGTTTCAAAAGTTTCTGATTTCAATCTCAAGCCCCAAACTTCCACAAACAGATCACCACTCTAATGTAAACATGTAACTGTTGCCGCAGCTATGGCTGCTTTATGTATTAGACATATTTTAAAGATATCGGTAAGCGCTCTTGCATTACATCCGGGATACATTTCAGTGCACCAGTACAACCTGTTACACAATGTCAGGATGTAAGACGTAAATTCACTTGTGGTAACGTCACGCCGAAGGTCCGGTTTCGATTCCCCACATGGGCACACTGTGTGAAGCCCATTCCTGGTGTGATGTTGCTGAAATAATGCTAAATGCTGAGTAAAATCCAACTCACTCACTTGTGGTAAGGTTATAAGTAGGTGAGATGAGGTGAAATTGGGTTTAACGTCGTGCTCGAGAATATTTCGCTCATATGACCACGTGCATGCGTGTGTATTTGTATGTGCGGCTGCTCGTACTAGCCCAGACTTAAGCTGGTTTTCTAGTGCTAGCCCACTGAGATAACATGCCGCAGTGAAGCATGAATACCCCACTCAGACACATTATACTGACTCCGAGCCGACCAGTCCTTGTTGTACCCATTAATGCCGAGCGCCAGGCAGGGACCAACAAGTACCATATTTTAAAGTCTTTTGGTATGACTCGGTCGGGGATCGAACCCGCGACCTTCCGCTCTCCGGGCGGACGCTCTAACCACTACACCACGGAGGCGGTAAGGTTATAAGTAACTACTAGAATAATGAACAATAGTCAGGTCTTAGCTACAAAACTTACATATTAGAGTTATGAACGCTACATTAAAATACATGCACAATTGATGAGATCCTTGTTGTGCAGACATGGCCTACCTTCCATGACATATACGAGATTGCCCATGTCGCCCTCCTTGATAATAGTGCTGTCTTTGGAGTATTCCACTGGATACATGCAGTCCACGATCTCCCGGATCTGGGACATCTCCAGATTCTTCATGAAATCATTGTCCAGGATAGCCTGCTTTATCAACTCCCGAGAACTGAAAACAGATAAGACCGTTGGTAAACAGAATGAAACGGAACAGTACTGACCCTACGACATACACATACAGCTATCATATCCCAACATACGTCTACCGATAAGAAACATCAGTTCTTATATTTGTTTATGCTACATCCGATAGTGAAGTCGTGAAGTTGTAGATCATGTGTGAACGTGATTTTCTGCACTAATATTAACTAACTCAAGGCTGAAATTGTCCTCTGCATTCTACATCATTAAACGTCACTATCGTACCTCGTCACTATTCCTTTAACAAAGGGTTCATCTTGACCCAAAGGTTACTGATATGAATACCATTAGACATTGTCTCTTACATTCGGTCATCGGTAAACGTCACGATTCTGTCCACGGCGTTCTTCCTTTAACAGACAGGGTTCATCTTGACCCAAAGGTTACTGATATGAATACTATTAGACATTGTCTCTTACATTCGGTCATCCGTAGACGTCACTATTCTGTCCACGGCGTTCTTCCTTTAATAGAGGGTTCATCTTGACCCAAAGGTTACTGATATGAATACCATTAGACATTGTCTCTTACATTCGGTCATCGGTAAACGTCACTATTCTGTCCACGGCGTTCTTCCTTTAACAGAGGGTTCATCTTGACCCAAAGGTTACTGATATGAATACCATTAGACATTGTCTCTTACATTCGGTCATCGGTAAACGTCACTATTCTGTCCACGGCGTTCTTCCTTTAACAGAGGGTTCATCTTGACCCAAAGGTTACTGATATGGATACCATTAGACATTGTCTCTTACATTCGGTCATCGGTAAACGTCACGATTCTGTCCACGGCGTTCGTCTTTTGACAGAGGGTTCATCTTGACCCAAAGGTTACTGATATGGATACCGTCAGGAATCAACCATTTCCTATTTGAGGATAGCGACGGGGTTATAGTTAAAGGCCGGGTATGTTTTGTTCAAACCATTCATGAGGGGCGATGGGGTAGCCTAGTGGTTAAAGCGTTGGCTCGTCACGCCGAAGACCCGGGTTCGAATCCCCACATGGGTACAATGTGTGAAGCCCATTTCTGGTGTCCCCCGCCGTGATGTTGCTGGAATATTGCTAAAAGCGGCGTAAAACCAAACTCATTCAGTCAGTCAGTCAGTCAAACCATTCATGACCTGTTCGACCCGTGAAAATCCAGGTTAGAATTGGTCTTCAGTACCCCATGCTTATCGTAAGAGGCGACTAACAGCATCGGGTGGTCAGGATCGCTGACTTGGTTGACACATGTCATCGTATCCCAATTGCGTAGATCGATGCTCATGCTTTTGATCACTGGATTGTCTGGTCTGGTCTCGACTCATTTATTTACAGACCATATAATTAAAATATTGCTGAGTGCGGCGTAAAACTAAACTCACTCACTAACTCACATGTGAACGTTTTTCATAATAACATACATTTATATTTCTCAGAGAGAAATGTTGTTTAAAATGTCTTTGTGGCATCAGAGGTATCCTCCTACCGGGACCTGCTATCAGAAAAATACACACCTGCTGTCCTCAATAAACAACAGGCGGCGCACTCGTTCCTGAAAGTCATGTTCATCAGCTGAGGGCTAAGTTAGAATTACTTTCTATTTTCATTTGGATTAATATATATGTGTTCCTTATCGTGGGCGGATGTTGTTTCTCCTTCGATAAGCATTTGTAATCCTTTCAACCAATAAATACCCCTGTTCACCAAGCTACAGTAAATCAAAACTTGTGCCAGTCTGTAGATTACATTGGAACTACACTTTGATAATGCACCAAAGAGGCAAGCGCGACCTTGAAACCACGTGCCAGACTCCGTGTAAGCAAGTGTTACGTCTTCTCCAAATGATAAATAAGCTCCTCCGAACCATTCCAAACTGGGTAATTAGTGTCACTGCCTATCTGCAGTATTGCCTACAACTAAGAACCTACATAGAAATAACTGCTCCTTTGTGCCGTGGTGATGAGATACCTTTATGTAGGACAGTTACTTTGAATAATGAATCAATCCTGGGTATACCAGACATTCTGTGGAAGGTAATCATATAAACAGTTGTTTGAACGTATTTAAAACGGTATTATGTACTTCTAAGAAGAAAATGTAAAATTCAACGCCAGATAATTATCTGGGCAGAATTTTGTTGTTTGTTGTTTTACGTAATGCTTATGGATAATGCAGCTGTATCAGTGCGGTCTGTATATAATCGAGGCTGAACCAGACTCCAGTGGCATCATAAGCATTGATCTAAGCAGTTGTGATACGATTACCTCAACCCACCAAATAGATGAATCTGACCATCCCCGTTAAAGGAAACAGAATGTTGTAAAGCACAACATTTAAATCCAAAGGACCCGTAACGATCCGGGTTAGAATTGGTCTTCAGCAACCCATGCTTGTCGTAAGAGGCTACTAACGGGATCTGGTGGTCAGGCTCGCTGGCTTGGTTGACACGTGTCATCGTATTCCAATTGCGTAGATCGATGCTCATGCTGTTGATCACTGGATTGTCAGGCTTAGCCTCGGAAATTTTCACACCGCCACCATATCGCTGGACTATTGCTGAGTGCGGCGTGAAACAACAAACCAGCCAACTAAACCGATGTATCTACACGACATTATTGACGAAAATATCCATCTACGCAAACGCGTGTGCGCAATGTTGCTTTTGCATACAACCTGCGATACGATACATCACGATACTAAAATTTTAGCCAAGACGATATATCGCCAAAGTATTGTGCACTGAAGCTGCGATACGATACGAATCCCGATATATGGGTGGCGATACGATACGTATCACGATACTAAAATCTTTAATTTTACACCAACTATAAAACATCTTAAGATCAAAACAAAACCATATAAAAATATTTCGTCAAATTCCGCCAGCGTTTTTCACTGTTCATTCGGAAACGAGATAATGAAGTTTATGCACGGACTTTGTCAATGTTAACACAGTGACACAGTTCTTTGCGCAAGAATGTCCGAGAAAACGTTTACTTATGAAGGGAAAATAAATAAGCATATATTTTAATCAGTAAACAAAAAGTAAGTCTGTTTCACTAGACAGATATCGCGATTCGGCAATATTCAAAGACTTTTGCCTTATATTAAGAGTTAACATATACCTAGAACGACCCGATTATTATCTAAATATACAAACATCATAAGTGCCCACACGCCTCGCGTAAAATTGCTTTTCTCACATATTAAACAATACAATAGAAAAAGAAACTTTCACAAAGCTGATTTCGACGATATTTTGGTCTTTTTTGGTAAATGCGTTGATATTAAATCCGCCCCCGTAGAGAAATCCTTTCGCAAAAATACTTTGATTAAAAGTTGGAAGGGGTCGACAACGAACCTAATACAATCGTTCCCCCAAAAAATATAAAATACATTTCATTATGAAAGATTGAAGAAAAGATGGACTTGGGAACACGTCTCAGAATCAATGTTCTGAACGGTACATACAGTTCACAAAGTGGAGGGTGCTGAAACATCATCCGGATTTATTTATGAAACGCATCACGCTTGGACCAGATGACAAGGAATGAAAGCTTTCAATTAACCTTGACTGCACCTCCCATCGCGGTCAAATGCTAACCGATTTATCCAATCGAAGGCACCTGGCTGACAATCAACCTGCGTTAGAAAACGAACGTCTCCAAGTGACAGACCGTGATTAAATGCTCTGCTAATGGTCTTTCCTTGTTGGATCTGGCTTAGAGACCCACGTAAGGTTTCAGCTGTATAACGAATATTCAGATTGGGTAGATTCAGATTTTCCTTTATTTTGCTTATTGATGATTTCTGCTTGTACAATCCTTGACAGCTTTATTCATATCATATGCGTTGGAACTGTCATTCAGTGAATCGGCTGTTTGGACCAAAGACGACTTTCATGATTGTTTTTCAGATGTGTATGCTATCATTAACCACCAGAGGTTTTTCGGGTGCTTTAGAGCAAGTAAATTCGTTGTCTTGGGCAGTATTTATCATTACATCCTATGTGCCCACAGGTGATTACCACGGCCAACAACGACTACCAGTAAGGTTCGAAAATTTACTTAAATTACTTTACGAAAATTTTTAACTTCAAAGGTATCGTATCCCAGTTGTGTAGATTGATGCCCATGCTGTTGATCATTGGATTGTCTGGTCTAGACTCGATTATTTACAGAGCGCCGCCATATAGCTTGAATATTGTTGAGTGCGGCGTAAAACTAAACTCACTCACTCACTTCAAACTTTGTTATTATAGTTCTGATTTGTAAAGTGTGCAAACAATCTCATTCACCTTTTAATGAACAGCCAGCAAGGCTTTGCTATATCGTATGAGTCAGCCAAGTTGGTTCGGACCTCGAACATAGAAGCCAGCAAGCTCTTGCCGACAATCGCCTCCAGGCTGCCGCATCACACACAAAGCGTATACGTTGGTAAGAGCATGATTTACACCCGCGGGTCAATGTGAAATTAGGGCCAATCCCATACGCTGCTACGGTTTAAGGATATACTGTGTGGGGTACGGTACGCCTCTCCATGGAAGGTTGCCAAGCGGTACACCAATCCCTACACAGTATTTGTCACGTTCATTACTCCCACTGACTAGACGACTAACCATGACATATTTGATTCAAGCTTACTGAAGATTATGTCTTGTACATACAGACACAGTGGCAGGTTCACACGTGCCATATGTCATTTTCCAATCACATGCACAATGTTTGTGAATGTTTGTCATCGATACATACGGTCACTAAACGATAATCGTATCGTGGCACAATGCATCGCGATGCATGGACGCAGGGATGAATGGTTACAATCCAAAACATTAACTGTTCTTCAAAACTACACTTAAACGTGTCTTTTAGGTAATAATTATCATTTTAAATAACAACTTCGCGTATATATAAATGATAATAACAAACTATCCATTTAGGAGAAGGGAGCAAGTCTATAGACAAGCCATATAGAAAAGTCGCTGT